TCTAGTACCACGTCCTGGGACGAAACCTGATTGTTCCTCCACAATGTTAGGTAGTAAAAAGGGCTTTATCCTCTCGAGAATTATGTGTAAGAGTATCTTACTGCAATGCGCAATTAGAGCAATTGTGCGATAGTTGCTACATAAATCTTTCGCTCCCTTTTTATGTATGGGAATATATAGTGATTGTATCCAGTCCTCAGGCCATTTACCTGTTTCCCACACTCTTTGACAAATTTGATGTATTATATCCACTCCAACGTCATCTAGGGCCCAAATCATTTCAATAGGTATGTTATCTTGACCGGCAGCTTTTTGACTTTTTTGCCTCATAATTGCTGCTTCAACTTCACTTTTGAGTACGTCAGGTTCCGTCGCAAAACTGGCATCTTCTTGTTGTGATGGGGCGTCTGTGCTTTCCTCCATCATCAGTCGTCCACAGTATTCTTTCCATCTGTGTAAAATTTTTTTTTTACAAAGTGAGTAGAGTTCCGTTATCATCTTTGATAGCAGGGTAGTTTGGTGTAAAGGAACGTGTTATCTGCTTTATTTTTTTAAACATGTCTCTGGTCTCAGTTTTGGTTTTATGCCCTTCTATTTCCATGCAGATTTTGTTCAAGTGTGTGTTCTTGTCCTTTTTGCAGAGTCGTTTTATTTGACCGTTCAGCGCTTTATAGGCCTCTTTATATAGTCTGTTTATATAGGCCCTGGAATATATAGTCAGAAAAATCAACAAAGGTACACTTAGAACGAGAGAGGGACAAATAATAGCATATGCCGACGATATTGTGATAATAACAAAGAACAGAAAAAAAAATGGAAAGTATGTTAAAAGAATTGGTAGCAGAAGGGAAAGTAATGGGATTAGTAATAAATCAAGAAAAAACAAAAATAATGAGATTTGACAAGAAATATGAAAACAAAAAGGTTAGACTGGGAGAATATATATTTAAAGAACTAGAAAAGTTTAAGTATTTGGGAATATTATTAGCAAACAATAGAGAAAGGGAAACAGAAATTAAAGAAAGAATAATTACAGCAAATAAGACATACTATGCAAATACAAAGCTTCTAAAAAATAAATTACTGAGCAAAAAATCGAAAATGAAAATATATAAAACAATAATTCGACCGACTATGATGTATGCAGCCGAAACCCTTAGCATAACAAAAAAACAAGAGGAAGACCTTAGAATACTAGAAAGGAAAATACTAAGAGCAATATCAGGACCAATAAAAATTAATGAAAACCAATATAGACAAAGGACGAATCATGAACTACTAAACGAAATTAAAGAGGATATAGTTTGTAAAATAAAACAGCAAAGGGCAAAATGGCTAGGACATATATGGAGATCAGGACCAACTACGACAATATTCTCAATATTGGAATGGACACCAGCTGGTAAACGAAGACGTGGAAGACCAAGATCTACATGGCTACAAGAAGTAACAAACGATCTCAACAGGGCGGGCGTACGACAATGGAGAGAAAAACTAGAGATAGGAAACAGTGGAGAAAAATAACAAGAAAAATTAAATAAAGAAAATGAGGACTGATCTACCTCGTAAAATAGATCTAGAGAGCTTAAGCGGCGTAACCCCGTACGGGGTGTTTAGCCACAATATATATTTTCTAAACAGGGGAATAGATTTTGCTTCGATCCAGAGAGGTGTCTATACCGCTCTGAAGAGACCTAAAGAGTTCGAAATACGTATAAGCGGCTTACCGCCGCTCTGTATTGAAACAAAAATCTAGTATCGTCTTTATATTTTATATCTTTCCTCCGTTTGGAGTACCAGAAATTGAATTCACTACGAATCTTGACCATGATGAATGGCACGTGGAATGCAATCTATCCCTTGCCGAGTAATTTATCGAGCTGCTTGCTTTGCAAGTTTTAGAAAGCACAGTGGTAAATATTTGAATTCGATTTCACCAGGTAGAAATCGTATGATTTCTCTTTTTGAACTCTTTACCTTTAAAACGCATCTTGATTTTTGTCGATAGGTCAATTGAATTAAAAGATATCGAATTTTTACCTTCGAGCTGATACAAATTTTATTAAACATTGATTTCGTTCGCGTAACTGACATGCAAAATTGACGGTCGCTTCAAGCGTTGTTTCTTAGATAACAGTTAATTCTACACCCAACAGTTTGTGCGACCAAACTGTCTTTAGTAACTATTTTTGAATCATATGGTCTCACAATGCACGTTAATTCTCCAACAAGAATCTCAAAAACATCATCCTCGACAATTGATTATGTGGTTTCCGATTTTCCACCCGCTGACGTCCATTCTACAGTTATTAGTGGGGGGCTTTCTGATCATGAAGCGGTATATACCAAGTTTAGCAGTTTACAAACACCTCACTCAAAAACCCGACGATTAGGTAGGATTTTTTCCACTCAAAACTTTCGTAAATTCTATAATTCATGCTTGACTTCTGACTGGAGTTTTTCTTCTGGGGACATTGACTGTAATGTTAGTGATTTTCTAAATAGACTTGTATCTATTTTTAATAAAGCATTTCCTCTATTAAACATCAGGCCAAAACATAACAAACCTTGGATTACCAAAGGCATTCGCTTATCTGCGAAAAATATGCTATATATTAAAAAATTTAATGACAATATCCCCATCTCTGATTATATCAATAAGTACAGAAAATGCTATATAAAACTACTCAAAGTAGCCAAAACAGCCTACTCTCATAATCGCTTAAAAAGCTTCAAAAATATTTCAAAAGAAACTTGGTCAATAATAAACGATTTTCGAAATAAAACCAGTACAGCGAATCAAACCTTTTCTTTTCCTCACCCCGAAAATCTAAATGATTACTTTGTTAATGTGAGTAAAAATATAACCTCAACTATTTCGCCGCAACAATATCCAGTTTCCTATCTCTCTAATTCAAAAAACATTGCTGATGCCTTCTTTTTAAGACCAGTTGATAAGACGGAACTCATTTCAACAATTCGTAGTATAAAAAGCACATCGTCCTGTAGTACAGATGGATTATCTATTAAAATTTTCTCAAATCTACCGCATAATGTTTTGGAGGTCATGGTCTCGCTAGTAAATGATTCCCTTGAAAAAGGTACATTCCCTAACTGCCTAAAGACTGCCATCGTCATTTCTCTTCATAAAGGTGGAGAAAAATCTAATGCCTGCAACTATAGACCTATTGCCTTGTTACCAGCACTATCAAAAATTATTGAAAGACTTATAAAAGTTCGACTTATGCCCTTTATCCTTAAATATAATATTTTATCGCAAAATCAGTTCGGCTTTTTGCCTAATAAATGCACTACTGATGCCATATTTTCTGTGTTACATAATGTATATCTATCACTAAACATTAACTTCTCCTCCGCCACCGTTTTCTGCGACTATTCCAAAGCCTTTGACTGCGTAAATCACGACATTCTATTAAAAAAATTAACTTTCTATGGAATTCGGGGTGTGTCTTTGAACTGGTTCAAAACTTACTTGGTAGGTAGGAAACAATTGGTTAGAATAAATGACACCGACTGTAGTTGTAAAGATATTGAGTGTGGAGTACCGCAAGGTTCAGTATTAGGTCCCATTCTTTTTTTACTTTTCATTAATGACATCACTTACTTGAAAATTAAAGGGAAAATTTTTCTATTTGCTGATGACACCAGTATTACTTGGAGCAGCTCTAATATTTCAACGCTTCATTCAATTATAACCGCTGATTTACTTATAATCAAGGCTTGGTCAGACTCCAACTTACTTAGCTTTAACGTGGATAAGACTGTAGCACTATCTTATAAAGGAGTCATGCAACCCTTGCTTTTGAATGAGAGCCAAATCAATATCGTAAATTCCGTGAAATTTTTAGGTATTCTCATTGACAGTGATCTCAAATGGTCCTTGCATACTGACTCCTTAAGGAAGAAACTAGCCTCAGCTTGCTTTGCAATAAGATCTGTTTCGAACGAACTAAATTTATCTTCTGCCAAAATGGCATATTTCTCATTGTTCGAGTCCCATCTTCGATATGGGCTTCCATTTTGGGGTTCTAGTACAGCGGCCCAATTTGATACTATTTTTAAGTTGCAAAAAAGAGCAATCCGTTATCTATTTGGTCTTAAACAAACAACTCATTGCAAGACCTACTTCAAAAATCACGGAATTTTGACGCTTCCCTCTCTATTTATTTTGGAAACGGTTTGTTTGATTCGAAAGCATCTAAACATTTTTCCCGATAGACCTGACCATGGCTACTCCATTAGAAATTCGGATTGTAACGTTTATTTGCCGATCCCGTCCACTCAGCTAGTAAAGAATTCTATTCTATATCGTGCAAGGAAACTTTATAATCACCTTCCAAGAGAAATTAAATCCGCAACTTCCTTCATTAAGTTTCGTAAGGTGACAAAAATCTATCTCTCAGAAAGACCATATTATTCAGTTGACGAGTTTCTTAATGTATAATAAAGAAACAAAATTAGTATTGTTTATAATTACATTTGGGTGTCTCAAGCAGTGGCTACAATTTGTCTCATTTGTTGTTGTCTGTACAAATTGTGTAGGTTATACAATAATTTTACTAATTTAAAATTGTGTTATTCTGTTTTTTACTATATTTGTTTTTGTTTTATACTTTTTGTACTATTTGACTGATTTATTTTTTAGCTTTGTCCATAAAATTGTTCAATAATTTTCAGTGACAATAAAGCATATTTCTATTCTATTCTATTCTACACAAAAACTGCTTATAAACATTTTTGTTTTAAATTATCTCAGCTACATTTTTATTTAAAATATGTTTTTCTAGGATGTACAGATTCTTGGTAAATTGGGGAAAGCTTAGGGAAGCCAGGGGGTAAAAGTGGTAAACTTTTTTGCAAATGATGAGTGCTAAATTTTTGTAATATTTGTATAACTAAGTATTTTAGAACATTAAGAAAGTTTATTGGACGATAATTTTTGGTTAGCATCTGAATTTTGAAAAGATTATGTTTTTCAGATACCGGAAATTCCAGACATATTCGAGAACGTACCCATTAAAAATATAAAATCTGCAGCGGATACTGTAAATAAACTCGTACAAGAAGTTCCAGATAAGATCAATTCTCAAATCCAAACTATTAAGGATAAAGCTAATACAGAGATAAATACTGCTGGTAAGTTTTTATATCATGTAATTATAAACTAAAAGAATATTGTGAAAGTACGAGACAAATAACAATTCTTAAAGCCCTAGATAACAACTGTTGGTATGAAATTACCGAAAATTTGAAATAATAAATCCTTAAATACCCCTTACTATTTCTCTGTTTAGACGATTGGGTGATGTGTGCGATAGTAATAAATAATTTTGTAGTAAACTACTATAGCTTTTTCATTCAACCAGATTATTACAAGTCGATTTTTATGTTTTAGGGAATACTATAAAGAACAACACAAAAGTCATGGATGATCTTGTAGTTACAGTAAAGAAGCAAATGCTAAGTGTCTACTCATCTTTTGAGGACGGGAATGATTATTTGGAAAAGTACTATCCTTATTTTTACTACGTGGGTATAGTAATTTCTTGCGTTTTGCTTTTAGTCCTAGTGTTTCTATTTTTTGGATTAGTTTTCGGTTTGTTTGGCAATAGACCCGATAAGTACAAAAGTTACTGTTGCAGTAAGGGTACAGGAAGTGTATTCTTAATAACGTAAGTAAATTAAAATTTTTTGCTATATTGTAATATATATATATATATATATATATATATATATATATATATATATATATATATATATATATATAATATATATATATATATATATGTATATATATATATATATATTTATAAATATATACAGATATCTTGGGTTTAGTAGTCAATATATTGGCCTTTAAGTAAAACTCTTTAAGTAAAACTCTTTTAGGTTTGCTAAGCTTTCGAGTTTATTTTACTCTTTTTCAAAACATACTAAAAATTAACATAAAAAATTACATTAGAAAAATGAAGTTCTTATGTCTTCAATAGGCTTACCCTTGTGAGTATTGTGTTTTAAAATTAGCAATATTAATTAACATAATGACATTAAATTTGATTTACTTTTTCGTTCTGTCAAAACTTATTACAGAATAAAATTAAATTATTACAGTATTTAATGTTCTTAATATTTCACCTAAAAAAACTAATCGTATTCTTCTTACGGTGCCTTATCCTTAGGGACGTTGGTCATTACATTTGTCCATTTAATCTTATTTGTAGCAGCCCTAAATAGTTCTATGGAGGTCATGTTCGTCCAATGCCGTAGGTTTTTAAGCCAAGAGTTGCGTCTTCTTCCTGGTCCGCTTTTGCTATTGACTTTGCCTTCGATTATAAGTTGGAGCAGTTCATACTTTTGATTTCTTATGATGTGACCAAAATATTGTGTTTTTCGTTCTTTTATTATAAGCATAAGCTCTCTTTCCTTATTTATCCTCCGCAAGACTTCCGCATTTGTCGTATGGCTCATGTAGGATATTCTGAGCATTTTACGGTAACACCAGAGTTCGAATGCTTGGATTCTTTTTTGTGTTGCTTCTGTCATTGTCCAGGCTTCAACACCATAGAGCAAGGTGGAGAAAACATAGCACTTAAGTATTCTAGTTCTCAATGAGATGCCTAGCTGCCGGTTGCATACAACTTTTTGCATTTTGTAAAACATTGTACGTGCCTTTTCCAGGCGTATTCTTATCTCTAGTGAGTGGTCCCAAGTTTCATCAAGATTACTTCCAAGGTACGTTGTTCTTGTTACTCTTTCCAGATCTGTTCCGTCGACATTAACCTTCACCCTTCTGTTTTGGTGCTTGCTGATGACCATCGTTTTTGTCTTCTTTGTATACAATTTTATTCCAAATTCTCTACAGGCTGTCGTTACTCGGTCCATTAAGCGTTGCAGGGCTTCAGCATTATCTGCCAGTATGACAGTGTCATCAGCATATCGCAGGTTATTTATACATTGCCCGTTTATAATTATACCATCCGAGGTGCCTTCCAAAGCTTTCTGAAATATCTTCTCAGAGTAAACATTGAACAGCAAAGGTGATAGGACACATCCCTGTCTTACTCCCTTCTCGATATTGATTTTTCCAGATGTTTCGCTTTTTATTCTGATTTTAGCCTTTTGTTCTTGGTAGAGGTTTGAAATGATCCTTAAGTCTTTATCGTCGATATTACATGACCTTAAAATATCTATTAGTTTATCATGTTTCACCAGGTCAAACGCCTTCTGAAAGTCTATAAAACACAAGTATACATCATAATCGACATCTCTACATCTTTCAAGTAGCACACGTATTGAAAAAAATGCTTCTCTTGTTCCGAACCCATTCTTAAAACCAAACTGAGTTTGACCAGTGTGTTCGTCTAGTTTATTGTATACTCTATTATGTATTACTCGTAGGAAAAGCTTCAACATATGATTCATCAGGCTAATAATAATATGGTCTTCACATTTCTTGGAGTTTCTCTTCTTTGGTAGTGGTATAAACACCGATGTCAGCCAATCATTTGGTATTATGTCTGTTTCGTATATTTTGTTAAATATATCTTCCAGTAATTCGATGTGTTCGTTTAGTAATATCTTTATTATTTCAATTGGGATATTATCTTCCCCAACAGCTTTTCCGTTCTTTAACTGATTTGCCGCTTTGATAATTTCTTGCTTTGTGATATAAGGTCCAGTCGATGCCTCCTGCATGTAAATGTTCGTCCTCTCTCGGTCTTGAAACATCTTTTCCACGTATTCTCTCCATCTACTTATTTGATCTTCTATGTTCAGTAGCGGGTTCCCATGTTTATCTTCGATGAAAGACGTAGGAGTTTGTTTAAATATTCCAGTGGCTTCTTTTACTTTTTTATGTAGATTGAAAGTATCATGCCTTTGTTCCAACTCTTCAATTTCTTGGTATCTTTTACTTAGCCAGGTTTCTTTGGCTTGTTGGATCTTTATTCTGATATTCTTGTCTATTTGCTTGTATGCTGTTTCATTTTTACCTCTGTATTTTCTTCTTTCATCCATCATGTTTAGAATTTCTTCTGTCATCCATGATTTGTTCTTTTTTAGTGTACCTTGTTTGTAAGTGTTTTCTCAATATAGTGCCATTCTTCCTCGGGAGTTTGTGTCGATTGTACTGTTCTGTTACTCAAGTGTCTATGTATTTCTTCTCGTATTTTATTACTAGTGGATTCTTCTTTAAGCTTATCTAGATTAATAGCTATTATTTGCTTATTTCTTTTTGTTCTTTTAAATTCTATCCTAATTGTTGCAAGAAGAAAATTGTGGTCGGTGGGGATGTCAGCTCCGGGGTATGTCTTGCATGCTTTTACTGCGTTTTTGTATCTTTTGTTGACCATTATGTAATCGATTTGATTTCTTGTGATGCGTCCTTCTATTCCATCTGCTGGAGATTTCCACGTGTAGAGACGTCTGAGTGGTAACTTGAAAAACCTGTTTATTATACTGTACTGATTTTCTTTACAGAACTGAAGCAGTCTATCTCCCCTCTCATTTCTTATTCCGAGGCCAAACTCCCCCACCGTGTCATCTTCTCTTCCTTTTCCAATCTTGGCGTTAATCGTATTCACAAAATATTTTATAAATACAATTCTTTGTTCTTTCTTCTTCACTGTTAGGTTCAATTTTAGATAAAATAGATCTCAATGTGGCCTCATGGCTTGCAGTTGTTGGAAACGCTCCTAAATGATATAAAAGATAAAGAGGAGACAATAACATTTACCATGGAAATTGAATATAATTACACACTCCCTGTCCTGAATGTTTTATTCTCTAAGAACGATACTGGATATGAGACTCAGGTGTATAGAAAACCAACACACACTAACAGATATCTTAATTACAAATCAAGTCATAACACCAATATTATAAAGGGAATCATTAAACCCTTATACGAAAGAGCCAAAATTACTTATTCTAACGAAAATTCGTTCATAGAGGAGAAACAGACATGTTTTAATATCTGTTTTACCAAAAAATTATTATCCTTTATTGTTTATAAATAAGGAATTTATAACAATCGACCAAATAGAACGAGATCCTACAACACACACAAGGAACAATACGATCCATAAGAGGATTATCAGAAAAACTTAAAAAGGTAGGAAATAAAAACTCAACATTTCAACAACAGTAAAAACAAACACATTGAGATCTATTTTATCTAAAATTAAACCTAACAATAAACAAGAAAGAACAAAGAATTGTATTTATAAAATACCTTGTGAATGCGATCAGTTTTATTTAGGTGGAACTTTAAGATCACTAAAGGTTAGGATAAGTGAATATCAATCTTATATTAAAAACAGAGAATTTGATAGATCTCAAATATGTAAACACGTATGGGAAAATGAACATTGGTTTTAATGGAAAGACTCAAGTGTAGACCTAAAAGAAAAAGATGATAAAATGAGAAAAATTAAAGAAGCTGCTCTAATTATGCTAAATGGGACCAATTGTATCCCAAATTCGTCGGCAGAATGCAATATAATCTGGTTACGCACATTAAATGAAGAAGTTAATAAAAGTCAAATTCCACTATTAGTAAGTCAGTAACATATCGAGGATAGATTAATTATATTTTTTAAATAGCATACATATAAAACCATAGCTTGGTTTTTATTGAGAGTAAACTAAGTGTAAGACAAAATACTTACCGTCAAAAACCAGAAAATCCGAAAAAGCAGAAAAGGAATTGCAAAATAGATTTTACAGATCGTGGTGCAACTTCTCCCTTAAAAGTAGTATCAGTAACGTAAGTGTCTTAATCAGAAATACCGCTGGACAGAGTCCATCGATGAGCAATGATAATAGTTAGATCACCTTAGACTGTCATGGTTGGATAAATGGTGATAAACTTAATGGAAATTTTTCAGATCACTTCAGTAATGAGTGAAAGATGGAAAGTGAGCAAAATGACTCATAAAAATATAAAAGAAGAAGCGGAAAATTTCAGTTAAAATAATTTTAAGAACCATCATTGAGAAAGAAGAAAAAACCTATGTCAAAGATGGATACAGTCAGAGATCGTAGATATGTTTAGTATTCTGACTAAACATATAAACCTTACTATATTTGCCCGATAATTTTATGAAAAGTGGGTAAATATAATAGATAATCAAAACACAATTTTTGACATTTTTTAAGACTTCCCTGCCTTGATTAAACCCTTGATTAACAGGTTGAGTGCCACAGCAGACACCGGTGTCTGCTCAGAGGTATCTGCCCAATATTGCTAGAGCAGACACACGTGTCTGCTATGACTTCATACACATTTTTGACTATACCATCACAGTGTCTGCAAATCCTGTGTATTTAACATACATCGGTGTCTGCTAAGGTGATGGTTTATATGCGACAACTATAAACTCTTTAAATTTTCTTACGGGACTGCTTTTTTTGAAGGTTATAAAAATTGTAGTTTTGAAGTTACTTTCATAAAAAGACAAAATACATACCAACTAATTATAATGTGTTTTATTAAAACAAGAAAGACACATTGGAGGTTTTCCAATACAATCATTACAAAATGTGGTAACTTTTGATATTTTACTTCGTGGAATCTCACCCAACTTCTTTTTTTCATAGCAACCTCGACAATATTTACGGCCCACTCCTGAACTCCTTTGTTTTTTTATAAATTTATGATTGGATATCGACTTTCGTTTTGGTAGTTCAGGATTTTGAGACGTATTTGGTGGTAAAGTCTCATCAGCAGTGTTCAAGAGTTCTGTTACAATATGTTCTCTGAATTCATGAACAGTTATATTTTTCATTGTGATTTCTTTGTACAAAAAGCGAGCATTGACAATACATGTTCCTAACAACAACTCTATGGCTAGTTTTCTATACCACTTCAGACTGCGTCGTAATGCCGAACCATAACTACCCAGTTGATCAGATAAATCTATGGAAGATTTTCCATTATTGTAATCTGTAATTGACTTAGGTTTTATCACAGTTTCAGTTCTCCTGTGTGTTCCGATCAAATGAGTATTTTTACTAAGCAGATTAAGCGAGTTCAAGACTTGTGTAAAAATTGTCTGTGACAATAGTTCTACCTTTACCCAAGAGCTTCTCAGACAATCTTAGAACAACATCTGTGGGCAAAGACGTAGTTCTATTGTTATTACTTTTACCACCATATACTTCCAAGTTCCAGGTATAACCAGAATTACAGCATAGTTTAAAAATTTTTATCCCGTATTTGTGGGTTTTTTGCGGTATATATTGTTTTAAAAGCAAGCGTTCTTGAAATGGAACCATACTCTCATCAATACAAAAAACTTCACCTGGAGTATACAACGCTTGAAAATTTGTATTGCACATATTTACCAATCCCTGTATTTTATAAAGGCGATCACCTTGGGGGCAAAGTTCATTGTCTGCAAAATACATCATCCGCAGAAGAAGCTGGAATCTGTTCCGGCTCATTGTATTCCTCACAACATTATTATTATACAATATAGATTTGGACCAATAACTCTTTATTGCTTGCATTTTCACCAGACCCATATAGCGTATAAGTCCTAGAAATCTTTTCATTTCAGAAATAGTCGTGGGTTCCCATTTATGTAGTCGCGAGGATTGTGGGATATCATTTATTGTTGTTAGGAATTGTGTAGCACATAAATTTTTTTGCTGGACAATATGCTCAATTATGTTTTATCCACACAAGCAAAATAAAAGTCAAACGGAGTACCACTTGAAAGTTGAGCCACAACTGCGTCATTAGGACCACATTCATCTATAAAACAAAGATTTTTCTGCCGTCCAGTAGGTTCAGACCAACTATCACTGATTTCTGTAACGGGTCGGGAGCCTGTTGTGTTGTAATTTGTCAATGGGGTATCATTCGAATCGGAATCGGATGATTCACTTTCTGTCTGCGTTTTTTCCATCTTAGACTTTGGCAGCACCTGAGCAGCAGGTTCAGAATTTGACTATCTTGGAACATAAGCTGGATCGTTTATGGAATCTGTAGAACTGAATTCCTCATCTGATGAATTGCAGCTGTCTTCTGAAAACATTTATTTACTTGCAGTCTGATCTAACTTACACTTATTGTTAAAAAACTTACCGTAACTTGCTGCAGACTGTTTTGCATAAATTGCAGCCATAATTCTCTTTGTGCGATCACTAATATTATGCATGATGTATAATTTTTGGTAACTAATATTTAAATGAAGAGTTTGGTGGGAAAATCCCTACATGAAGCCGTCCATATGGCACAAGATCGCAGTCAATGGAGACAGCAGACTAATAATATTTAGGGTGTCACTACGCCCTGACAAGGATTGAGGAGAGATAATTTTTAAGAAAAATAACCAATATAGGTATTTAATACAGCTATAAAACAAAAGAATAACTCAACAAACTACTAACTCACGTGTATGTCTTTGAGGTTAGGTTTAAACGACAGCGGCGCCGTAAACCTCAGTGTCTGCTATTTGTGTCTGCAGAATTAATAAAAGGCAAATGTTGCCACAGCAGACACCGGTGTCTGCTTATGAAAAATGGCGATATAATTGAAAAAAATGGTCGGATTGAAAAAATTACGACTCTATTTCTCCTAAAAATTTATAAGCATTCTAGATATTATAAAAACAAAAAAATTGAAAATCCACTCATCTACTCAGTTTCTGGTTGGCACTTAACCTGTTAATCATTCCTGTAGTAGTAAGTTTAGGGTGTTATCTTACCTATCTTAATGTAAATTATTTTTCAGTGCTGTTGTTCTGATATTCATCATAACTGTCGTTATATGTATTATGGCGCTAGTAATGTCAGTTGGTGGCCTGGCAGCAGATAGGATCATTTGCTATTCATTAAGGAATCCTGATAAATCAACTATTATTAATGTGATCGATAAGTACATTCAAGAAAATATTAAAGATACTCAAGAGTTTTCTTTTAATATTACAAACATTTTGAATAAATGTTATCAAAATCAAAGTATCTATCAGGTTCTGAACCTGAAATCAAAATTCGACATCGATGAAACGATAAGCCAGTTTGATATTAACGCAACTATAACCGAAATTGTTAACAAAGTAGGCAATAAAATAGATGAAATAACAGATTTTAACTTTTTGGATTCTACAACCAAAGCAGAATTGGAAAAATTGACTAATGTCAATATTAATATCTTACTCAATGACTTCAAATCACTGCAAGATATGGTAAGTAAAGTTCAATCAAAAATAATTGTTGTGGTTCTTTTATATAGAATATACTAAGTGACAAAGAAATCTAAGCACCCACTATAAATTATTATTATTTTGAAAATATTTTGGGCAATTATACAGGGTAACAAATTAAACAAACGATCGAGGCCAATCAATCAACTTACAGTCTGATAAACACATGTTTATTTCAGCTCCGAATAATTCATAAATTAAAAGCGAATTTAATAAATTAGTGGTTTGTATTATTGTTCGTAACGAGTGAGTAATCACTTTCGAAAAAATACAAAAGCCTTTTTAAATAATTATATTATTATTTCAAAACATTCAAAAACAAAGTAGAGTAATCGTCATTTCGGAAGGCATCTAATTTGCATATTATCGCATTGGGCAATGGTCAAAATTTGAGATTTCTATCTAAGCCACGCCTTAGCAGTAAATCATTCCGATACTCAGTAGCGCAGCAGTGCAGTTGCGAACAAGTTGTGTGTGTCAAATATTATATACTTTTATTTTCAAACAATCTTGCTGAAAATGGACGGAAAAAACGTAGTGTTATTAAAGAGCAGGGTCGTCAAATAATATTTAATGTGTATAATTATTTTAAAAATATGAAAAGTGAAATGGACACTCTGCTAATGGTAAAAAATAAGACTGCTGAAGCAACAGGTAAGGAGTTTCAATGCATTTAGTATTAATTTTTGATATTCAAATTTAATGTTCCACTTTTCCAATGTTTCCAAACAGTTTTTACTTTTAGTTCTCAATGTTACTTATTTGTCAATCTTTTATACTCTGCTCTTGTACCCCATTTTGCCTATCTTCGCTTTTCTTTTGTATTGGGTGAGTCGAGAATACCATTTTTGACATATTTCTTGTTTCATTCCTTCGATGTGTCAAAAATATCGTATTCTCTGCACTTTCATTGCAGTCGTTATTTTTTAGCTCTTATTACACTTACTTTGTTATTTTGTTTATTACTTCTTGGTCTGTCTGTCGGTAGTTCTATTACTATGTGATCATCTACAATTCCGTAATGTGTTTCCATTACTACTTAATTTTTATTTACCATCATTTGTTGTAAAATACTTACCACATTTACTGTAAAATAATTTTGCCAAATTGTCATTATTCTCCTGATAGTTCATGTATTAATAGATAGTCATCATTTTTCATATGTCGAGAAAGAGTTCATAGGCTCTTGTTTTCGTAGAAAGCTCTTATTTATTTTTTAATTTTCTACTATCGCTTTAAGTTACTTCTCAATGTACTCTTTTGTTTCTTTATGTTGTCTGTTTAAAATTTGAAGAATTATTTCTGCAACATACCAATCATTCTCTCTTCGTGAGTATTTGCCGCGTTTACTATTGCCTTCCATGTTTGTCGGTCCTGTGCCAGTAATTCCCATTGTCTCACTCCCATTTTCTCCAGATCTTCTCTTACTGCATCTTTCATTTTATTTATACGCTGATTATATTTACGTCATTATAGGCATTTCTGTGCGGACCGTATCCAGAATACTACAAGAGAGCAAACGGTCTCTAGATAATAAAAACAAAGTTGAATTTTCTTCAAACCTTTACGAAAGACCTTTACGAAAGTCACCTGTGACAGATTTACCAGAATATCAAATTACAGATATTCGGCGTATAATACACGATTTTCATAGAACAGAGAATTCTTGTGTTACTGTTAAGAAATTGAAGAACAAAATTGAGAGAGATTTGGACATTAAAGTATCAGAAGCCTCGCTACGAAGAATTCTTCGAAATATGAATTGCCGTTGGAGGAGAGCACAGGACATCAGAAAATTGTTGGTCGAAAAGACAGAAATAAGGGCTTGGAGAATTAAATACTTAAGACTTATCAAACATTACAGAAACGAAAACAGGCCCATTGTTTACCTCGATGAGACATATGTACACAGTGGACAAACTTTATCGAAAACTTGGAATGATAATTCTAGTAAAGGGTTACTGATGAACATTTCGAAGGGTCAACGTTTAATAATAGTGCATGCTGGTGGTGAAATGGGATTTATTCCAAACGCGCTTTTAATATTCAAGTCTGGTAGTAAATCCGGTGACTACCACTTAGAAATGAATGCCACGAATTACCGCAAATGGCTAAAGGAAAAACTAATTCCAAATTTACCCCTAACTCAGTAGTTGTTTGCGATAATGCCTCATACCATTCGGTACAAGTGAATCCTGCGCCTAATAGTAATTCAAAAAGAAATATGATTGATTGGCTGATTAAAAACAATATAACATTTAATCCTCAAAGTTTTAAACCCGAATTGTATGAGTTGATTAAGTACCATAAAAATAGTTTCAAAAGGTATGAATTCGATGAACTTTTACGTAAATATGGTCACACTCCTTTACGGTTACCTCCATACCATCCGGATTTAAATCCGATAGAGCTAATATGGGCTGCGATTAAAAATAATATCGCACAAAATAACATAACTTTTAAATTGGAAGATGTGAGACACCTGTTGGAAAAACGAGTTTCCGAAATAACCCCAGATGAGTAGAGAAAACGATGTCATCATGCAATTAAAATAGAAGACAGTTATTTAACATCCGAAGTCCAAATAGACCATCAAGAAGATACTAATCCCATTATAGTAAACATAGGAAGTGACGACAGTGACATCGAGTGTTCTTCGGAAGCAGAAAATTAAATTAGATTTTGTTGTTCTTCTTTGAAACATTCACATTAGGTATATGGATTTTTAAAGGGTATGTATATAGAGTTAATTTTATATCTTTAAAGTTTTAATTTACAAATTTAGATGTGCATATATTTTATAATAACAGCAATATTGGTAGTCTTTATTATATCGCTAATATATATTTAAAAGAAACGACTTAAATCGGATAGGTGCATGAAATTAGGCCTTTCCCAAAGACAGGAATAGATACTCTTTTGAAGCCTCCTTACAACCTTACAACTATTGGTACTTTGCGGCAAAATAAACGAGAGATACCTCCTGAAATGATTAATCTTAACAACAGAGAAATCGGATATTCAAAATTTTGCTTTGACCGAGAGAAGACGTTAGTGTCCTATAAATTCAAAAAGAACAAAACCGTTCTAGTATTGTCAACAATGCACGAAGGCTCAATTGTTTGTCCAACTACTAAAAAACCCGAAATAATATTGCACTATAACCAAACAAAGGGTGGTGTGGACACTTTTGACCAAATGTCAAGATTCCCCTGCCAAGATTCGGTAGGGGAAGAAACAGCAGTAACGACAGGGCTTCCCAGACCGTTAGTTAGCGAAATCCCTGTTCACTAAATATATACAAATCCACTTACAAAATAGCTACATGGAATGTAAGAAGTATGTATGAACCTGGGAAACTAAGAAATATACAGCAAGAGATGATGCGACTAGAGATCGATATATTAGGAATAAGCGATACAAGATGGGTCGGCTCTGGCGAAGTCAATACAGACAATGGACGAATTTATTACTCTGGAAGCAGCGACACCCAACACAGATATGGAGTTGCTATGATCCTCACTGAAAAACTAACGAGATCAGTAACAGGCTTCGTTCCGATATCTGAAAGAATTATAATGGTGCAATTATTGACAACCCATGGAAAAATGAATTTAATTCAGATTTATGCACCAACTGCTGAAAAAAATGAAGAAGAAATAGAAAACTTTTATAGCGAACTTCAAAAAACATTACATCTCACAGCATCTAGAGACGTAACAGTGATCATGGGTGATTTCAACGCAAAAATTGGCGAGGGAAAATGCTACCCTAATGTAGGACCATATGGGCTTGGTGAACGAAACGACAGAGGGGATCGCCTAATAGAATTTTGCCAGGAGCACAATCTTATAGCCGCAAATACATTCTTTAAATTACCTAAGCGACGCCTTTATACATGGAAATCGCCAGCTGACAAAGACAACAAAATCGTCAGAAATCAAATTGATTACTTCCTAATAAAACACAGATATCGAAACTCACTTCAGGCAGTAAAGGCGTATCCAGGAGCGGACGTATCTTCTGATCATAGTCTTCTTATTGCTAGATTTCAACTTCAACTAAAAAAGACACAAAAAAGCCGCAATAACAATAAACTTAACATACAGAAACTAAAGTCAGAAGAAACAAAAGAAAATCTGAAACACGAAATCAACACAAATCTAGACAGAAACCCAGGAAATAACTGCAACGTAGAGCAGCAGTGGCAATTCTTCAAAACCTCTATATTGGAGCCAAGTAAGAAACTACTTACAACAACTAAATATAAGAAAGAAGAATGGATGACAGAGGAAATTCTAGAGTTGATGAATGAAAGGAGAAAAAACAAAACCATCAATAAGACGCGCTATAAACAGCTTCAAAACCAAATAAGAAGAAAAATTAGGGAGGCTAAAGAGACCTACTTCTCTGAAAAATGTAAAGAAATAGAAGAACTTCAAAACAGATATGACAACTTCAACCTACATTAAAAAGTCAAAGAACTAGCCGGAGTAGGAAATAGAAGAACCTCAAATATACTGCTCGACAAAAATGGAAATATTATATTGGAAACAGAACAAAAACTACGACGATGGAAAGAGTACATCGAAGAATTATTTCATGACCAGAGAGAAGCTAATACATCTGTAGATAGCCAAACGGGAGATGTAGGTCCAGAGATAACCAAATCAGAGGTTAGTCAGGCATTAAACTCAATGAAAACCAATAAATCTGCTGGTCCAGATGAATTACCAAGCGAGCTACTAAAGTTGGTCAACGAGAAAAACCTGGACATAACAGTAGAACTGTTCAACGCTATCTATACTACGGGAATCATTCCTAGAGAAATGTTGACATCAGCATTTGTGTGTTTGCCAAAGAAAGTGAATGCCAAAGAGTGTAGTGACTATCGAACCATAAGCTTAATGTCACATACCTTGAAAATTATCCACGCCAGAATACACTCTAAACTGGAGCTGGATATTAGTGACACTCAATATGGGTTCCGCAATGGTATGGGTACCAGAGAGGCATTATTCTCCTTCAATGTACTGACACAGAGATGTTTGGATGTTAACCGTCCTCTTTACATCTGTTTTATAGACTACAATAAAGCGTTTGATAAAGTAAAACATGATCGACTCCTGGAAATTCTAAAAAATAAAAACCTAGATGAAAGAGATTTAAGGCTAATAACACACCTCTATTACAATCAGCGAGCAATAGTAAGAATCGAAAAAGAAACATCTGAAGAAATGGAAATAAAGAGAGGAGTCAGGCAAGGCTGCATTCTATCACCTCTATTATTTAACGCCTATTCTGAAGAGGTAATTCGAGAAACTCTGGAAGATGAAACAGTCGGCATAAGAGTAAATGGAGTCTTAATTAACAACATCAGATATGCAGATGATACAGTAATAATAGCCGATAGTTTACAAGACCTGGAAAGACTCATGAGCAAAATAGTCATGTGTAGTAGGGAGTACGGACTCTCTCTTAATGTCAAAAAGACGAAGTTTATGAAAATTTGTAAAAACAACTATAATACTAACGGAATCTTGATAGTAGAGGGCCAGTAGATCGAAAGAGTAAAAAAGTACACTTACCTAGGAACACTTATAACAGAAAATAATGACTACACGGCAGAACTCAAAGTCAGAATCGAAAAAGCACGTTCTAATTTTATAAAAATGAAAAAGGTCCTATGTGGCAAAGATCTAACATTAGCTCTTAAAGTACGCCTAACAAAATGTTACGTATACAGTGTACTATATTATGGAGTGGAATCATGGACGTTAAATCTAGATACCATGAGACGACTTAACGCCTTTGAAATGTGGACCTATAGAAGAATTATGAGGGTTTCCTGGGTAGATAGAGTTACAAACAATGAAATACTGAGAAGAATAGGCAAAGAGAAGGAAATTGAACTTACAATTAAAGAAAGAAAACTACAGTATCTCGGACATGTGATGCGGGGCGATAAATATGGCATCCTGCGACTCATAATGCAAGGAAAAATAGATGGCAGAAGAAGCATCGGAAGAAGACGAATTTCATGGCTGAAGAACCTGAGAGAATGGTTTGGATGCAGCTCAAAACAACTATTTAGAGCTACTGCCTCAAAAATTAAGATAGCTATGATGATTGCCAACCTCCGTAGCGGAGATGGCACCTGAAGAAGAAGAAGAAGTGGCCATCGAAGTTGCTCCCGAAAAACTCGAAGATGGCCGCTGTGTATATTCTATGGTATGATCAACATAGCGTGTATAAACTCTTGGATTATATATAATCATAATTTATCAAGAAATAATCAGGAGCCAATAACAAGAAAGGCTTTTATGTTAAATCTCCATCAAGAACTCACAAGATTATGGCTTGAAAAGCGTTTTGCGATGCCGACTTTGCAACGCTCGGTGAAGCTTCTGATTAGTGATTTAATTAAAATTCCTTTGCAAGTTACTGAGGACAATCAACATTCTAACAAACGTACTACATGTTACGTCTGTCCCTCCAAAAAAAGAAGAATGACGTCACTTCATTGCAATCACTGCAAACGAGCATTTTGCGCAGAACACCGTGCTCGTTGTTGCGTTACCTGTGACGTAGATGCATAAATTTTGAAATTTTTTTGTACAATTTAGATATAAAAATGTTCCTTTGTTCCTTTAAAAAATTAATTAAAATATCATCTTAATTTTTTGTTTTACTTTTTTGGAGTTGAAAAAAAAATCGTAAATATCACGAATGGTTAGTGTCTACGGGAGTGGAAATTAAGGTTAGTGTTCTAGGGTTAAATTCAATAATCTGTAAACAAATTCATTGAGAAATTTGAGAAACTTGATAGGTGGCTTTTTAGTAAATTTTTGCCTTGTGTACATTTGCCTTAAATACATCAAAAAATAATTTGTTTAATTTTGTGATAAATATGTATTTTTATATTTATATTACATAATATATGTAGATAATAATATATTTTTTTTATTTATCTTCTATTTCTACTTGGATAGTTCATTAAAAACATTGTTATATATAACCATATATTTTTTAGTTTAACCAAACTATTATCGATGTTGATTTGGACAACTTAGTAAAGACGTTAAACACTATGGCTGATACTTTAAAAAATGAGAAGCCAGAATTAGCTACTACTATTACAGAACAGGCACAAGAAGTGGAAAACTACAATAAAAAACAACTAAAACCGTTTATTGAAAAAGTTAACACAATATTAGTAAGATTGATTTCAATTATATATAATTTACAACTTAATTTATTTAACTTTAAGAAACATCTTTTTTAACTAGATTTGTTGGTCCATAAAATGCACATTCAACATTTTCCAGTGCGAGTTATTCTACCTTAATAGAGAGATTGTAGAGTTTAAATAATTCGTTTGACCTCATCAACTTTACAACACTGTGACTTAATGTGAAAAATTTTCCCTAGTAGACTATATTAAGTTTGTTTTTTCCACTTTCGGACATCTGCCACGATGTGGCTTTTCAGTTTACCGCAAATTCCATCTTTAACGATATTATTTAAAAAGCGAACACAAATGAAACTCATAGACACCAATGGAAAATTAATCATTGACACCCAAGAGATGAAAGACAAATGGAGAATATATTTGGAGACACTTTTTCAAGATCAAACAACGGATTATAGGCATCCATTTTCAGAGAGGATGACGGGCCCGGACATACTTAAATCCGAGGTAGAAGAAGCAATAAAACGGATGAAAAGCAGGAAAGCTGTAGGGCCTGATAATATCGAAGCTGAATTTTTAAAACTCTTGGAGGAAGAAGGAATAATTTGGATCACGGCTGTCTTCAATAAAATATACAATACAGGAATCATCCCTGATAAATGGCTAGAATCAGAATTCATAGCGATACCTAAAAAACAGGGGGATAAAAAGTGCGAAGAATATCGAACAATCAGCCTAATGAGCCAAATGTTGAAACTGTTTCTTAGAGTCATCCATGGAAGAATTTATAAGAAGTGCGAGGAACAAATATCGGACAGACAGTTCTGCTTCATTAACGCAGTGGGTACCAGAGAGGCACTTTTCGGAGTACAGGTACTGATTCAAAGATGCAGGGACGTTAACTGCGACGTATACGCGTGCTTGATCGACTATGAAAAGGCATTTGACAGAGTTCAACATCAAAAGATGATAAACATTTTAAAAGAGACAGACCTGAATGACAAAGACTTCAGACTAATTTCAGAACTCTACTGGAATCAGACCGCATATTAATAATGAAAATTAACGGAGAAGAAACAGATCACATAAAAATACTACGTGGAGTATCAGGGTAGGTGGTGGATACAGGGATGTATCCTATCACCGTTGATATTTAATATGTACTCAGAGAAAATTTTTAACGAGGCTATTTACGGAATAGACGAAGGCATCCTTCTAAATGGTGAAAGAGTAAACAATGTTAGATATGCCGACGACACCATGGTGATAGCAGATAGTTTAGAGGGACTTCAGAGGCTAATGGACAGAATAAACGAGTACAGTCAACAGTACGGACTAAACATTAATACCCACAAAACGAAACAAATGATTATCAGCAAGGAGAATATAAACGGGGCTCATCTATACATTAATGTGACGAAGATAGAGCGAGTAAAACAGTATTGTTACCTGGGAACTATTATTAACGAACAGTGGAGCAATTTACAGGAAATAAAGTGCCGCATAGGAAAGGCAAGAACGGCCTTTAACAAAATTAGCGGCATCTTCAAAAGTCACAACATATCCCTTGATACAAAAATGAGACATTTGAGATGCTATGTTTTCTCTGTGTTGTTGTACGGGGCGGAGGCATGGACGCTTACAGACACCACTATTAAAAAACTTGAAGCATTTGAGATGTGGCTTTATAGATGAATGCTGAGAATATCATGGACAGCAAGGATCACGAACAAGGAAGTTCTAGGAAAAATGAAGAAGGAACCAGAGATTGTTTTTACGATCAAACGCATAAAATTGCAATATCTGGGACACGTTATGAGAAATCAGCACCGTTACTCCCTGCTACAGTCTATATTGCAAAGTAAAGTCAAAGGTAAGCGAGGGCCCGGTAGAAGGAGAATATCATGGCTTCGGAATTTAAGAACATGGTTTAAGAAAACCTCAACGGAGCTGTTTCGAGCCGCAGCGAGCAAGGTTATGATTGCCAATATGATTTCCAACATCCGAAACGGATAGGAACCAGAGGAAGAAGAAGAACGATATTATCAGTAATCTCACAACTAATAATTGAGGTGTTTTTTTAGATACTATTGAAGACACTCTATTACTAGTAGTGTAAATTATTATACAATTTTTATAATTGCACTTGCAATATTGTATTTCCGAAAAATATTGATATAATCTAGTGTTAGGACCATTAATCACTTTTCCCTTTCACTTTTTTATTTATCGCTTGACCATTATATTAAGTGAGGCAATCTTTTGTAGTTTTAACAATTTCATTTGGTCTTAACTCACGTTCATACGTGATGAGATTTGGTGAGAGTTCGAAAATCCTCTTCTGCAGTCATAATGTTTGTGTCTACCAATATAGTAGTCTTTTGGACATAGAAGAACATCTTACGGATGAGCTTGAATCGTTGTCAACAAACTACATGGAAAATCAGCTGCATCTAAATGCACAAAAAACACAGATTACCCTATTCCATCTCAACAACAGATATGCTGCAAAAATCCTTAACGTTCAATGGAATGGAGTCGCATTGTCCACTCCCCAAATACCTTGAAGTAACATTAGATAGCACATTTAGCCACAAGCAACACATTGAAAAAATACTAAATCTAATATTTAAGAAATAATGTTCTACAAAGATTAATATCATCTAGATGGGGAGCTCACCTAAGTGTGCTACGAATAACAGTGCTAGAACTATGCTTATCAACGGTAGAATATGTCTGCCCCATTTGGAAGCGATCAAGACACACTTATAAGATAGATAGTGTAACACACGAAACATGCCGACTGATAATCCGCTGCCTAAAGCCAACAAGAGTTAAACACCTTTATTCGTTGTCAGACATCGCTTCCCCAGTTATAGGAAGGAAAACGCACAGCATGGAAGAACGAACTAAACAGATAAATAAACGTCGCCATTTCAATTCATTTCTCTATTTTCTTCTTCTTCACATGCCATCTCCGCTACGAAGGTTGGCTATCATCATGGCAATTTTGACCCTGGAGGCTGCCGCTCGGAACAATTGTATGGAAGTGCAAGCAAACCACTCCCTGAGGTTTTTCAACCATGACATTCTTCTCCTACCTATGCTGCGCCTACCTTCAATCTTTCCTTGCATCATTAGTTGTTACAGTTGATATTTATTCCCACGTGTAATATGTCCCAGGTATTGTATTTTCCTCATTTTAACACTCAATACGACCTCCTTTTGTTTGTTCATCCTGTCTAATACAACTTGGTTAGTTATCTTATCCTTCCAGGAGATTTTTAACATTCTTCGGTACGCCCACATCTCAAATGCCTCCAGCTTGCCCATACATTGCTTATTTAGTGTCCACGCCTCCACCCCATATAACAGGACTGAGAAAACATAACATTTAAGCATTCGTATTTTCAGCTTTAGGCTTAGGTTTCGGCTACACAACATTTGTTTCATGTTGTTAAAGGCACTGCGGGCTTTCTCTATTCTTATTCTTATTTCTCTGGTGTATTCGTTTGACTCGTTAATATTTGTTCCGAGGTAATTGTAATTTTGTACTCGTTCAATGAGATTCTGTCCTACATGTAAGTTGATATTATTGATACGTTTCTTTGTAATTATCATGAATTTGGTCTTCTTTGTATTCAGTGACAGACCAAATTCTTCACTATCTTCTACCACTTTGTTTAGTAATCTCTGTAAGTCGTCAATATTTTCTGCTATGAGCGCGGTATCATCAGCATATCGGATATTGCAAATAGGGTGACTGTTGATCTTTACTCCGGCTTTTTCGTTCATAAGAGCTTTTTTAATAACTTCTTCCGCGTAGACATTGAACAAGGTTGGAGACAAAACACAACCCTGCCGAACACCTCTTTTGATCTGTATTCTATCTGATATCGAGCTGTTAATTCGTACTGTAGCTTCTTGTTTGTAGTATAAATTCCTTATCACTCGCATGTCCCTTGTATCAATATTTTTATTTTCCAGTATTTGCATCAGTGGCCTATGTTTTACTGTATCAAATGCTTTGTTATAGTTTAGGAAACACACAAATATGTCCTGATTTACGTCTAAACATCGTTGTGTTAGAACATTAAAAGCAAACAGTGCCTCTCTAGTTCCTAGTCCGTCTCTAAAGCCAAATTGAGAGGGTCCGATGTCAACTTCCAATTTTTTATATATTCTCCGATGAATGATTTTTAAGAAGACCTTTAATATATGACACATGAGACTGATGGTGCGATGTTCCGAGCATTGTCTCGCATTAGACTTTTTGGGTATGGCTATTATTGTTGTTACTAGCCATTCATTAGGTATGATACCAGATTTGTAAATGCTGTTAAATAGTTTCACGATCTTTATTAAGTTGTTGCCTTTGATGAGTTTAATTATGTCTATTGGTAGTTCATCTGGGCCTGTAGCCTTCCCCGACCTCATTTCTTTAATCGTGTATTCCACTTCATCTCTTGTTATTTCTGGTCCTGTGTCACTGTTTATGTATTCGTTGTCTACATTGTCTCTTTGATCTTTAAACAGTTGTTCTATGTACTGTTTCCAGACTCTTATTTTTTCTTCTGTGTCCATAATAATGTTTCCACTCTCGTCTACCAATATGTTGTGTCTGTTACTTTGTCTTCTCGTCTACTCTTTGATCTTCCGATGTGCATTAAAGCTGTCGTGTTTATTTTGTAGTTGTTCGATTTCTTCGCATTTTTCCCCGTACCAGTTTTCTTTAGCTGTGCGTATTTTTAGACGAATTTCTTTTTGTATCTCTTTATACTTCTGGTTCTTTTTGTTTGTCTGTTTTCTTCTTTCATCCATTAAGTTCAGTATCTCATCTGTCATCCATTCTTTTCTATATTCTTTACTTTTATGCAGGTGACTTATGCTTGGTTTCATTAACGCTGTTTTAATGTCTGTCCAATTCTCATTGATGTTAACTTTTGTGTTGTCTTTTATGGGTTGTATCTTTGTTACTGCTTCATCAATTTCTTGTATCATCTGTTCTCTTACTTCTGGTTTTCGTAATTTGTTGATATCAACTGATTTTTTGGGGGTTGTGCTATTAATTTTCTTTAGTTTTATTTTCATTCTTGCAACTAGTGGATTATGATTAGATGATATATCTGCACCAGGGTATGTCTTAATTCACATTATGCTGTTTCTGTATCTTTCATTGATTAGTAGATAGTCTATTTGGTTTCTCACTATGTGATGTTCTGTGTATTGTGGAGATCTCCATGTGTATAAACGTCTGTTGGGTAGTTCGAAAAAGGTATTTGTAATTACCATTCTGTTTTCCTGGCAAAATTGTACCAGTCTTTCACCAGACTCGTTCCTATTCCCTAATCCAAAATTTCCTACCAAATCATCTGTCCTTCCTTTCCCAACTTTAGCATTCAAATCTCCCATTATTATTGTGATGTCCCTTTTTTTGGTCAGTTTCAATGCCGAGTCAATTTGTTCATAAAATGTTTCTATTTCATGTTCTTCTTTGTCCGCTGTTGGTGCGTATACTTGTATTATATTCATTTTTGTGATGTTTGTATTTATTTGTAACATCATAACTCGATCGGACAAAGGTAGAAAGTTCAGGACATGACGAGATAGAGACTTTTTTAACATTATACCCACTCCATTACGATGTTGGGGATCTTCGTTACCGGAGTAGTAGATTATGTGATCTTTAATATGACAGCATCCATTTCCCGACCATCGGGTTTCGCTTATACCCAAAATGCTAATATTCATTCTTTGGATTTCTTGAATAACGATGTGTGTTTTTCCTGGCTCATACATGCTGGTAGCGTTCCATGTTCCAATTTTCATTATTTCGTTGGTAATATTTATATTTTGAAGGGCCCGCGTAGCGCAAGCGGTAGTGTGCTTGCCTCGCATGCCGGTGGTCGTGAGTTCGAATCCTACCGCCGGCAAGAACAACTAGGCATTTTTAAAATGTCTATAGGCCCCAGGTCGACTCAGCCTGAATAAAATGAGTACCTTGGGTAAAACCAGGGGTAATAATAGGCGGTTGAAGCGTAGCACTGGCCATGTTACCTTCCTTGTATACCGTAGGCCCTAGATATAGCAGACTACCCTGCTATACTCCCAAAGCCGCGTGCGGTATAAAACGGGAGACTATTATTATTATAATATTTATATTTTGACAAGGTTTTCGCTGGTTGACGACCCGAAAAGCCTTGTCACTTTTCTTGCCGGATCTTGCCCTCCGATCCCCATGATCAGTAAGATTTTGTTGATTATTTATCATGCCATGATAACTATACTAGAGATATCTATTGGATCTTTACTGTAGTGGTTTCTCGTTGCCTGCTACATCCCAATGCCGTTGACTAATATATTAGCTCTTCCGCCTTTGAGGTCGATTTCTCAGCCTCAGGACAAGGAGTTGCCTGTCAGCTCATCCACCCTCAGCTGTTGGCCAACAACTAGGAGATTACTTATACCGGTAATCTTTCGGTAAATTTTCACCATATCTGGTTACGCTCACTTTCTCTATGGTCTTATTTTATTTATAGAATTTTACTGCGCTGTATTTTATTTTGATTTAACTTTATACTGTAAGATTTGTGAGCAATGTAGTTCGTACGAGAAATAAAAAAATGTTTGTGGATATCTTAATTGTTCTCGTTGTTTATCGGTGATGGTTTTCCGTAACCGAAGACGGCTTTATTTGGTAACAAGATGCACTTTTCCAACAGTATATCAGAATTGCTTCCAAGGAAGAAATTCTAACATTGGTTTAAATTGTTGCTTTATTTTATCTACCCACATATTCCATACAATAGAGACAATTAAACATGTTGTGAAAGTGTATATCTAACAGTAAATATAAATACTTGATAATGACAAGGAAGAAACTTTTATATTACTGTAAATGTATTTAATTTTTTTCTTTTTTAAAATTACTTTTATGCTGTTTTAGGCTACTACAGATAAACTGCAAAACGATTTGAAAATGGATTCTATGAATTTTCCTGAAGCTATTAAGACATTTATCAATCAGGTAGAGAAAGCTCAGGAAAACTTCAAAGACAACAAAGAAAAGACAACAGAAATTTTTAAAAAAGTTAGTTTTTTTCATGACTAAATTAATTATTCTTTTTTTAAATTGGGGATAGTTAATTTCTGTACATTCTATAAATATAATGTTAATTTATTATTTTCGACTCTTCCTATGGAGTGATCTTCAAAGATTTGTTTTGCGTCTGGGCTTTAGCCTAATAATTTTACAGTTAAACATGCCACAAACACCACACGTGTTTGTGACGTTAGTATTATGTACACTACTTAATAGTATTTATGTCTTAAAATGAGAACTAAAGAGATTTAAAAAACATGACAAATCATGAAGATGACAATATAGACCTAGTCGAAAAATAGAATATATGTAATTTTTAGGCTGCATCCCAATTTGGCAAATTAATGGTAGATCAAATAAGTGGATACACAGATAGAATTGCAAGTGCGGTAAATGATGAGCTGGGTATGTGCGGACCATTGAACGTAGCAATACATGGTGCTCTTACAGCTTTCTGTGACAAAATTACGCTACCTTGGGTGAGTATTCTAACAGTAATTAGTAATTTTTTATAACTTTTATTCCTGTAAATGATAAAACCGTTTTTTATGGATCGGTCCTCGTAGAGAGACAGCGAGGTCGAAGTATATCCGCTCCGTACTAAACTCCAAAATACTGGGGAATTACGAGCAAATAAATAGCCAAATTATTATAGCGCGCAAATAAAGTAAGTTTAAGTAAATAGTAAAAGAAACGAGCAGCCTTTCGTTATCAGATTTACCCCAAACACTTTTCATTAAGAAATGTAAAAGTTTTACTTGGTAAGGCATGATAATACGGACCAGTCTCGTCATTATGATTATTATCTTTGGCTCGACATCCTAGTTGCGATCCTGGCTTGATCTAAGATTCGTCGCCATTCTGTTCAGTTTCTAACAACGTGTTGTCATCTTCTGATCTATAGAGATCAGTCTAGTCTGTGCTACCAATATCTTCAGGCAAATAGCCACTTAATAAATTTGGCAGTTTCCTTTGCCACTCTGAAACGTCGTCAAGATTAACTATAATTTTTTTTTCAGATGCTTTTATCACCGATATTTGTTCTTCCAAACTTAAAAAGTTTGAAAGACGTTCCAAAACATCTTTCTTTTAGTCGAAGACGTTGTTACCCTTAGATCAGAATATTGCAACTAAATTAGAAAATGTGCACAAAGGATGAATAAATTCTAAAATGGATTTTTCCAAGTTAAACTCCATGTACCTAATATACCTACTTTTATGACCATAAGTAACTACAGTAGTCTCTCTTTATAACGATTCCCTATATAACGATAATTCCTCTATAACGATGACAATAGTAAACGTTGGTTGGTTCGCCACAAGGACAATGTATTAATCCTTTCTCTATACCGATATCGTTCTCTCTTTATAGCGATGACTTTTCAGCGTTCAATAGTCGATGACAAATGTGTTATTGTGTTTAAAGTTCAGACTACCTGAGTCATGAGTGGCAAGGTCGTTGTCTAGCGGTTGTTTTAATTTGCGCTTAAGGAATGCGGCCACCCATTCTACTCATTCTTATGAAAGGGTTAAGTGACTCGCTTTTATTATTCGGGCGGCGTGCCTAACTATCACACATATGTCATCTATTGACGACTTTTCATTTCCAGTTTGAGTTGTGTCTCAGTGTGTCAACAGTCAACATGTTTTCGAAAAAGCGTAAGGTGAAAAGCAATCGGATGTCGTTTGCCGTACCCCTTAGTCAACTGTGGCTACGATGCGGAAGTACAGAAAAAAGAGGCTTGAAGCGGAGATGTATGGCGGTAGCAGGAAGAAGTTGCGGAAACCTCAGTACGAAGATTTAGATCGCGCTATGTTTCAGTGGTTTCAGTAGCAACGAATGAACCATATTCCACTTTCTGGGCCTGTGGTCAGGACAAAAGCTGAATCTTTTGCAACTGATCGTGAAATTGCAAATTTCAAGGCATCTGAGGGTTGGCCGAGCAAGTGGAAGAAGCTGCGGCACAAGATCAACTACGGGCAAATCAGCTGAGAGGCTCGCGATATTAACAAAAACGTAACGGATGATTGGCTACAAAACGTGTGACCTGGACTAAAGGCACGTTATGCGTCAGACGACATTTTCAATGCTGATGAGACTGGATTGTTTTTTAAAATGACACCAAACAGAACTTTAAAATTTAAATCGGAATAGTTGGTGGAAAGCTCTCTAAGGAATGCATTACAATTTTAGTGACCGCTAACATGACAGGTTCGGTGAAGCGAAAATTGTTAGTGATAGGGAAGTTAAAAAATCCACGTTGCTTTTAAAACATAAAAAATCTACCTGTTACCTATAAAGCAAACACGAGTGCGTGGATGACTTCAAATACTTTTGAAGAAGCGATAAGAAAGTGGAATATCGAGCTTAAAAGGAAAAAAATTCTTCTGCTTGTAGACAATTGTCCTGCTCATCCTATACTGTACGACCCTCAAAACATTGAACTTTGTTTTCTGCCAGCAAACACAACGAGTGTCCTTGAGATCCATCCGATGGACCAAAGTGTCATTGTTAGGGAAAGTATGCATTTTTACATTTAATATTTTTTCTGGTACGGTTCTGTAATATGATCTAACTTAGGGTTGTATTCTAAAGAACTTTTAAAATATATTATTTCCTGTTCACTCATAAATCTTAAACTGGATATCTCATTTATGATGTTGTAAATACGGAGAATTTGGCTTCTCTTTTGTATGGTTCAAAAGATACACACAAGTGTCGTGTTACCGTCACAATTAGCTAAAATTATCGGAAAGGTCGCAATACAATGGAAAGGTTTATGGGTAGACCCTTCCGGACCACACCACTTCGAGGGTCCTTAACTCTGACCATATTAACGCACTCTCAATTGGGCACTTCTTCGTGAGACAACGATCGATCGACACGCATCAAGTTCCAGACGGTTTTTCGTGCTAAGCCTCGGGACGGCGACGCTAACGTCGGTACCACCGGCCAACTCTACAGCTTGGTACGAATTCATCAATAGAACCAAAGGGTAAGTCTATTCTTGTATAAAACATTGATAATGAGTAAACCAGTTTATTTCAAATTTATTTCTACTTTTACAATTTATAATTACTATTTTCACCAATTTTATGTATCAACAATATCACATTTTTTCGTTATAATTATTTATTCATTATAATTTAAACCAGCGACTTTTCAAGTTTAATCACTAAACAGTCATCAAGAGTTTGAAAAGCCATTACAGGAGAAGACTTTTGATGGTATTGGTTGAGAACAATGGCAATCTCAAACTAAACATTCTTGACGTCATCCTAGTAATTAGTAAATAATGGGACGAGGTGACGAGCAATACAATAAAATATTCCTTCAAACACGCAGGATACAAACAGGACACAGACAGTTTGAACTTACTATCACCTACGGACCGGAAGAGCTAACAGATTTTGAATAATTTGATGAAAATGTAGCAAAAATATCTGGACTTTCTGAAAAGGACATCTTACAGTTCGTGTAGAAGAAGAAGAAAACAGTGACCCAGAAGTGTAAGCAGAGCCAAAACTAGCTCCGACCCCTCAGTAGGCATTGAGTGTGGCAAAAGTACTGCATTTATTCTTCATCCACCAGGAAGAAGAAGAAAACAGTGACCCAGAAGTGGAAGCAGAGCCAGAACTAGCTCCAACCCCTCAGTAGGCATTGAGTGTGGCAAAAGTACTGCATTTATTCTTCATCCACCAGGAAGACGATATGAGTGCTGTGGATGATTCTATGCGTCTTTAGGACAAGGTCACGTCAGTTCTGTGAAAAGGGAAAAGGAAACAGACCAAGGTGACAGACTATTTTTGGTAATGTAAGCAAAATATATTTTACAGCAGCATATTATTTTTTTATTGTACTGTACACATGTTTTAATTGTACATTCATTTTTTTATATCGTATTGCTTGTATTATTTTTTAATAAATCTATGTAGTGTACAATACAGCGTTAATTCATTTATACACGTTTTGCTACATTTTTTCAATTAAAATAGGGTATTTACTACAGTATTATTAATATTACGGTACCGAATTTTGTGTCTTTCCGTATAACGATCTCTCCTTATAACGATGAAAATTCCCGATCCCTTGCATATCGTTATAGAGAGAGAGGACTGTACTTATATAATTAGTTTTATGGCTACAATAAGTTATGTACATATTTGGATTTCCGGAGCCCCAATTTTAATCTTTTAATCGCTTTTACCTGACTAAGTCAATACTTTTCGAGTTATTGAAAAATAGGTTCTTATTCGTCAAATTCCATGTAGAATATTTCAACGTGAAATAATAAAAAACTAAAGCACTTTTCGACGAAAACTCATTACAACTTTTTTTAAAGTGTTTAAAAAAGGTTTATTTTTGTTAAGTTTCTTGCATAAAGAGTAAGCAAGTTATGACCAAAATATTCAGAAAAGCAAAACCTACATTTTTTTACTCTTTGTGATTTTTGGTGTCACTAATAATTTTAAGTTGTTTTGAAAAAAAGCATTTTTTTCATAATTAAAAAAAAATTGTTAAAAAATAAGCCCTTTGAACAAATCAAATTTACAGATCATTATAATAATACAATAAAAACAATGACCAAGGTATTTATTAGAGAAATCAGGACACGCATTGAAATTGCAAGACAAGCATTTATGACAATGAAAAAAATGGTTGTTAATCGAGATCTTATCTAGTTTTGATGGGAAATAAACCACAATTTTACTAAAAAAATCATTTTATTAACGTTTCGACGCCCAAATCGGGTGTCGTTGTCGTTGTTCCCGCAGTTTTTTGCCAAATTTTTGTGCGCTCTACGTCTTTTAGGGGAAATTTAAAGAAAGATATATTATTATTTGTTCCATCGTTTCTTTCAAAACATCCCCCGTAAACACATTTGTGCGTTACACAGGCCATTTTATCTAAAATGTGAGTCCTTTTTTTTTATAAAATTTAGCTATAACTTGTCACAACACTAGACACAGATAATACACTTATAGGGTAAGTTCGGCCCTGACACCACTCCTATCTCTTCGCAAGTCAGAGAGAGAATGAGAATCTCGATACGGTTTTCGAGTAACGCCATCTAGTTTTTGATACGTCTTTCGGTTACCACGAGGTGAGCTATCTAGGTAGTGGTTTATAATTAATGACAGTAGTAAGACAACACCACCGAATAGGACAACGTTTATACAACAACAATAGGACATTGTTTTCTGCTCAAGACAGAAAACAGTGGAGGTATGTTGTCGAGTCGGCTAAAACCCACGAAGGGTTGTAACGCCACGGAGTAAGTAAGTACAACACAGTAATTCCTACGTCTCAGTATTAATAGCTCAAGTATACTACTATTGCAGACTTCTTTCTTAATTATTCTAAACCCATCAAATTTTGGGTAGTATATATTTAAAAAATATGTTTTAGTTGTTATAATTTAACATAACTATTTATTAAATGGTGCAAATAATTAAATATTGATTGTCTGTAATTCGTAAAGTTCTATTTTATTTACTATTTGATTTGTTTACTATTAATATTGGTTATGAGTACGTGTGCTTGGTTGTATAGTAATTTCCAGCCACTTTTAGTCTGTCAAAAAGTAACTAACATCGCAAAAAAATAATTACTAAATTCGCTAGACAGTTCGGACTGGGAATAGCGAACCGAGCATAACAATGTGCTACGCATGGTATATTCCCTATTTAAAATTTAAGGGTTAAAGTCCTGGAAGGGAGGAGGTTGACAATTGACAAATATCTATATCGTTAAAAGATGACTCCTTTAGAATAAAAATCAACCTGTTTCACGTGTTTACACAAAAAACCTAATTACCAGAGACACATAGGTAGTTCTGATTTAAGAACATAGCTCAGCTTGCCGAATGCAACCCAAGTGAGTCCTATGCGGCGGCTTAGTTCGCACGTTTGATTATCTCTTCCTATGCGTATCTCATGTCCTAAGTACTTATAAGAGGTGGTTTCTTCAATATGTATGCCATTAACTGAAATCTTTTCGCTTAACACATTACATAACATATTATTGGTCTGATAATAGTTTTGTAGACCCTGATTTTCGATCTCCAGTGTGCATTTTTGAGCGGAACACATGGGCGAGTGAAAAGTAAGCTTTGTTCCCTTTTCTTTTTACCCTTTACTATTCTTTGAATTTCTGGTTTTTATCTTAATTGTATTCAAATATTTTTTTAAATTGTTGTAACGCCTATTAATTATCATTTTTTATAAAATGCCTCTAAGAAAATCAAACCTCAACAATGCATGTAGCCAAGCCGCAAGGTGTAAACGAATTGTAAGTTTTAATAGATCGGTCGAACAAACTATTCAAATAAATGAAGATCAGAGAATAAGGTCAGAATAGATGCGTGTACAAGAATCTCATACATATCATGACCAACGTGTACGAAAGAATATTTTAGGAAAAAGCTGCACCTGAGCAATATATAGCTACATCCAGAATACAAGAACGAGAAAGACAGCGAATCAACCGTGAATTTACACGTATATCATTTGTTCATTTAGCATTTGAATATGCCCCAGACATTAATTATTCTGCTCATTTTAAAATTACTTTTAGTGCAATGGACACAATATGCCAGTATTTTAAGGCATTGAAGTTTGACAATAAAGTACTTGGCATCTGTTACGTGCATCAGGAAAAGTTGTGTTACCATGTCTTACCACTCCACCAGAACCTTTAAAATGACTTATTACTGGGGATTCAGAAAATTGTTAGATGATGGGCGAACATTAGATGTTCATAGCAAGCCAAATGCAATGTGTAACGTGTAATGTGTAATGTGAACGTGCAATGTTAAAAAAATAAGTGGAATGCACCAATCAACGATAAACTATTCAGTGGTGTTGTCTTACTACTGTCATTGATTATAAACCACTACCTAGATAGCTCACCTCGTGGTAACCGAAAGACGTATCAAAAACTAGATGACGTTACTCGAAAACCGTATCGAGATTCTCATTCTCTCTCTGACTTGCGAAGAGATAGGAGTGGTGTCAGGGCCGAACTTACCCTATAAGTGTATTATCTGTGTCTAGTGTTGTGACAAGTTATAGCTAAATTTTATAAAAAAAAGGACTCACATTTTAGATAAAATGGCCTGTGTAACGCACAAATGTGTTAACGCGGGATGTTTTGAAAGAAACGATGGAACAAATAATAATATATCTTTCTTTAAATTTCCCCTAAAAGACGTAGAGCGCACAAAAATTTGGCAAAAAAACTGCGGGAACAACGACAACGACACCCGATTTGGGCGTCGAAACGTTATTAAAATGATTTTTTAGTAAAATTGTGGCTTATTTCCCATCAAAACTAGATAAGATCTCGATTAACAAACATTTTTTTCATTGTTATAAATGCTTGTCTTGTAATTTCAATGCGTGTCCTGATTTCTCTAATAAATACCTTGGTCATTGTTTTTATTGTATTATTATAATGATCTGTAAATTTGATTTGTTCAAAGGGCTTATTTCTAACATTTTTTTTTTAATTTTGAAAAAAATGCTTTTTTTCAAAACAACTTAAAATTATTAGTGACACCAAAAATCACAAAGAGTACAAAAATGTAGGTTTTGCTTTTTTGAATATTTTGGTCATAACTTGCTTACTCTTTATGCAAGAAACTTAACAAAAATAAACCTTTTTTAAACACTTTAAAAAAACTTGTAATGAGTTTTCGTCGAAAAGTGCTTTAGTTTTTTTATTATTTCACGTTGAAATATTCTACATGGAATTTGACGAATAAGAACCTATTTTTCAATAACTCGAAAAGTATTGACTTAGTAAAAAAACTCTATAGAACCAAAGTTGCTTAGAATTACTGATTTTAGGCACTTCCAAACTTATCTTGAACATATATTTTTTCACTCCCGATAAGGGGCGATACTAATCCATAGGGCAAAAACATAATCTATTTTTCTTTGACATCTTAATTAGGCGTAAGCCAAATTTCATGTCAACCCAAGCGATTCTTTAAAATTATGAGGTTTTGCAATATTTTACCGTGAATGAATGGACTAAATCTGAAAATAAATTCTGTATATTTAGCTTGAAATGTTTTAGTTTGCATCAATTCTGGAAATTAATTTGTTTGAAAAGTTACAAAAAAGTAATTTACATGAGATATAATTTATCACTGCTAATTTTATTATGTATTTTACATATATTTTGTTATTTTTTTGTATTGTGTTGATAAATAAATAATTTTTAGAAAACCTTTACTGTTTTTATTAATCAATTTTTAGCGTTTTTTCTGAAGTAAAATCGGAATTTCATAATATAGATTACAAGCACGTTAAAATTATTTGTGAACATGCTGAGTGCCATCCTTATATCGTCCTCTATTACACTAGAGAATTGGCGGAGCATGGAACTTAAATTTATTTTTCAATCTTGGCAAATATTTCAATGAATGTCGCCACCATACAGTCAGTTAGTACTTAGGCGTGAGGGGCAAAGAGGTGTAAGTGGGCGGAGTTTAACACTGAATTCGTTTTTACCTTAAAGTGAGCTATCTAGGTAGTGGTTTATAATCAATGCTACTGTCTAGTGACTTTCGACAGGCATTACCCTTTTTGCATATGGGGATGAGATTAATGCATGTTTAAAACAACCGTTTTTATGCGAACGGTCGAACAGTTCGATTGACCATTAATATAAGAGTACAAGTGCAAAATATCGGCGTAAATATTTTCCAAACATTTGCTGGATATTGGAAACGCTAAAATAAAACTGCATCCAAATACACAATACATCAAACTTCCAGATAATTTCTGCACTTTTGTTGAGATCAAACATGAACCACATTGGAATCACCACTTTTGGCGGCAAAAAAATGTTAATGTTTACGAAATTAACTTTCAGATTCAACAATAATTGTTACGGTGATCTGATATTTTTTAAATACTGATTGTATAAAAATTGGTTTACCAATTATTCTGTTATGCAATTTGAACACACCCAGAATATGCAACGGCACACGTTTGGTCATTAAAAGTATTACCGGAAATATTATTGAAGCAATGATTTTGACTGGACGATTTGAAGGAGAAATCGTACTGTTGCCACGTATCCCAATGATATCGTCATATACCACAATATTCCATGATTCCATGTTTCTCAGATGGTTAATACATGCTTAATACTTACTTTATAGAAATTAATTCATATGAAACAGTTTTTATATAATATTACAAAAAAAGAAATTTACATTACTCTTTTAATTCATCATTCACTTTCATTATTTCCTCATAATAAACTTTTAAATAAAGGATCATCACCTCTACGCACTCTTCTATAAACATATTGGTGTCAGACTTTTTTATTTACAGATTCTTAATGTTAAATTATTTTCTTATCTTTTTTCAACCATCTTTCTTTTTCGTTCTATTGCATATAAAAAATATTTCGTGCTTTCATTGAATACTACTACTAATCAATTTAATTTCTTTTCAGAATGGTTTTTGGGCATCTCTTTTTGTCTGTTTGGTAACGTTTGTACCAATAATAATTATTTCAATTTGGCTAGCATCGATATATAAGAGCTACAAAGCAGATGATCAACATTTAATTAGGTAAATATTATACACAAATATACTTCCAATATTTAACACATATATTTACTTACTATACTTATTTTTTATAGAGACCCAAAACATCGGGGCAAAAAGAACAAAAGAGACAACTTCAATGATTATTACAACATACCACCAAGAAACAACGAAAATCCATTGTAAGTATAAACCATGCACACAGATATATATATATATATATATATATATATATATATATATATATATATATATATATATATATATATGTTCGGATATATTTATATTATATATATATATATATATATATATATATATATATATATATATATATATATATATATATATATATATATATATATATATATAAAATTAATGTTTCTTGGGTTTAGGTTCAAAGAAACTCAAAACTACTATATATATATATATATATATATATATATATATATATATATATATATATATATATATATGTATATATATATATATATATATATATATATATATATATATAAGATGGTGGTATTCTTGACTGTTGATTTAAATATAAATTATGATTTTTGAGGATGCAGTCAGTTTATTTGGCCCACAAGACAAAGAAAACTCTTTGACTTACTGTCAAGCTTTCGAATTTTATTTAATTCTTTTTCAAGACATCTATAAAAAGAAATATAAATTAACTAGTTAAAATTGTTAATTGTCTTACTTACTAGTCGTGAGATTGCAGTTGTTAATACTATTGTACTCCACAAAACAAACCATTATAAATATATTAAAAATTCTGTATTAAAAATAACTATATTGTCACTATACATGTCATTGTCATGGTTTGATGAATGGACATATATGAATGAAAATACAGTTACTTTATGTGGAAAGCAAAACCAGTAACAATAGTTTTTATTATAATTTATTTAATTGTCTATAAAAATATAAATTAATCCAGTCAGCAGTTTGGCTTAAGCACATATGAATTTTTAATGTTAGGATGTCAATAGAAAATGAGATCTTGACGGTATTTATTGATATGTTAATATGTAACAATAAATGTTACTTAATTTGTCAATATCTGATCTTCTATTTACACATTTTTTATTTTTTTGTATATGTGTCATTTCTAAAAATAACCGTTTTAATAATACAATGACATGTATAGTGACAATATAGTTATTTTTAATACAAAATTTTTAATATATTTATAATGGTTTGTTTTGTGGAGTACAATAGTATTAACAACTGTAATCTCACGACTAGTAAGTAAGACAATTAACAATTTTAACTAGTTAATTTATAATTCTTTTTGTAGATGTCTTGAAAAAGAATTAAATAAAATTCGAAAGCTTGACAGTAAGTCAAAGAGTTTTCTTTGTCTTGTGGGCCAAATAAACTGACTGCATCCTCAAAAATCATAAATTATATATATATATATATATATATATATATATATTTATGATTTTTGAGGATGCAGTCAGTTATATATATATATATATATATATATATATATATATATATATATATATATATATATATATATATATGTATATAGAGTAAGAAAAAAGAAGTACTTGTGACTCGTTTGGAAAAAATATAAAACTGTTTTGGATGGGCTGGAGTCAATAAAAGGGGCTATTTGTTGACTATTTTTACTCGAGCTTTCAATTGCGTTTACAATTATTATCAAGAGTTTCTAAAAAATACAAAATATCTTATGCAGGCCATTCACGTTCCGACTTGTGGTACGACTAGTGGTCCAACTTCTGCAGTTGGATCTGAAATCGGACCATGAGTGGGCTAGTTGGATTAGTTGGACAACTAGTGGTACGACTCGGAACATCTAGTGGGACGACTTAAAGGTCCGACTTCCGACTGGCGACGAAGTCGGAGCGTGAATGGTGAAGTTGGAACTCGAATCACAGTTTGGATCGAAAATTTCCTCAGTCAGTTGACTTTCGGCACCTGTTACGTATGAGATTTCTATGAAATACTTTACGCAAAGATCTCTAGTTCGCGAATATTTAATAGAAAATATACTTTCAATTGCACGAAAATTACCTTTTTGTTAGGGCAAATCATTTTCCTTTCTGTAGATCTATTTCGGACATTCCTATACAGGCAAATTTCCGATACTCCGGATTGGCTACGGAAGAATTATCAACAAACAATGAAAATTAAATCATAGTTGTAGCAAAAGATCCCTAGTTCGCAAAAAATAATAGAAAATAACTTTCAATTGCACGAAAAATTATTCCTATTAAAAATATACGACACACACACAACAAAATAAATTCCAGCTCTAGTTTAAAACAAATAAAATATAGATTTTATACCTATACAAATCTTTAAAAACTATAATTTTTTCCTACATCTTAAAAAGTCATAAAAATCAAGAGTTGAAAAAATTAAAATTAGTTCAGCCCTAGACAAATAACTAGAGAAACGAAACCTAATTTTTAAACATACATATCATATTATTATATTTTGCCTAGTGTTTATTCGATACATTTTTTGGTTATGCGATGTACACCATCGTGAAAACAACCTAGAACTGAAGTTGGACCGCTAGTTGGATAGAAAGTCGGAGCGTGAGTGGAGACGAACATCCAACTAGTAGTCCTACTAAGTGGGACTACAAGTCGGAACGTGAATGTCGGAACGTGAATGTCGGAACGTGAATGTCTTATACAGGCCATTCACGTTCCGACTTGTGGTCCCACTTAGTAGGACTACTAGTTGGATGTTCGTCTCCACTCACGCTCCGACTTTCTATCCAACTAGCGGTCCAACTTCAGTTCTAGGTTGTTTTCACGGTGGCGTACATCGCTTAACCAAAAAATGTATCGAATAAATACTACGCAAAATATAATATATATTATGATATGTATGTTTAAAAATTAGGTTTCGTTTCTCTAGTTATTTGTCTAGGGCTGAACTAATAAATTTTTTCAACTCTTGATTTTTATGACTTTTTAAGATGTAGGAAAACATGATAGTTTTTAAAGATTTGTGTAGGTATAAAATCTATATTTTATTTGTTTTAAACTGGAGCTGGGATTTATTTTTGTTGTGTGTGTGTCGTATATTTTTAATAGGAATAATTTTTCGTGCAATTTAAAGGTATTTTCTATTATTTTTTTGCGAACTAGGGATCTTTTGCTACAACTATGATTTAATTTTCATTGTTTGTTGATAATTCTTTCGTAGCCAATCCGGAGTATCAAAAATTTACCTGTATGGGAATGTCGGAAATAGATCTACAGAAAGGAAAATGATTTGCCCTAACAAAAAGGTAATTTTCGTGCAATTTTCTATTGCACCTGTATTGCAAGTTTATTTTCTATTAAATATTCGCGAACTAAAGATCTTTGCGTAAAGTATTTCATAGAAATCTCATACATACAGGTGCCGAAGGTCAACTGATTGAGGAAATTTTCGATCCAACCTGTGATCCGACTTCCAACTTCACCATTCACGCTCCGACTTCGTCGCCAGTCGGAAGTCGGACCTTTAAGTCGTCCCACTAGATGTTCCGAGTCGTACCACTAGTTGTCCAATTAATCCAACTAGCCCACTCATGGTCCGATTTTAGATCCAACTGCAGAAGTTGGACCACTAGTCGTACCACAAGTCGGAACGTGAATGGCCTGCATTTTACAAACTTGAACTAGAAATAAAAAATTTTTTGTTAACTCACCAAATAAAATTAGTTTTTTTATATAAAACTGCTGCTTACATATTAATTACAAAAAATATTATTAAAAAAATGTCCTATTCTAATAAATGTTTCTCTGAAATAAATTTTAATAAAGTTTCTTAACAAAAACAATTGAATTTGTAAACAAGAATTGAATAGCTACAAACCAGCCTAAATGTCATAAATACTAACTTAAATTTTTTTATTTTTGACATATTGTCAAATAATAGGGCTTTGTAATAAATAATAGGGCTTTTTCCCCGTTTAATACCGAAAGTTAATTTAAAATACCAAATTAAAGCCAGATTTAAAAAAAAATTGAACAAAAATCATTGAAAATATAAACGAAATGCACATAAAAACCATTTTGGTTATGCACCGTGCAATTTTTTAATTATTACTCAGTCCAACACTGTAATTATTTCGACAATTTCGAGGTTGCAGTCGAAGGTAGAACGTTTTAGTTTGGTTAGTATAATTCCACTTACAATAGAATCTTTCTGCCTTTACGTGAACTTTGACTCCGCCTTCGCGCAGCTATATGGTCAAGAGTGCTTGCAAGTACTATACTTCTTTGTTCTGTCTTTCGCTGTGTAACGATGAGTCCAAGCCATCACCGTTAAACCAGCGTGCGCGCGAACCAACCCATGAAGTAGGAGTGTATCGACAGTAGAAAGGGCAAAACTTCGCTATATAAACCGCAACATTTCCTCATAGAGGCAGAATCGACAGGTGTTGACTGAAGGTTCTCTTCTTCCCTACCCCGGCTTGTGGACGTGTTGAGTTCACAAGTTGTTTCCGTTCCATACCGTCGTACCCGGAGAGCGTGTTGAGCTCTTCATTACCCGTACTCTGAAGCAGTCGTGTTGAGACTGTCGAGGAGTGTCCTATTAACCCGAATCACTTCAGGAACGTGTTGAGTTTCTTTCCTTTCTTTTCTTTGTACCTATCGTCCGCTGTTACAACGTTCACGTAAAATTTCAAAAACACACTCGCTTGCCGATAATACTATTTTCATACGACAAGGTCAAACTTAATTTGAATAAATAGGCCAGGTACTGAGAAGACTAAACCAAATTGTAAATATGTACATAAGATTTTTGTCAATTTAATTTAAGGAAGACAATAAAGTTTTATTTTTATTTTGAACTCTGTCTCTGACTGTCGAAAAGCTACCCGGATAGTGACTCCTACGAGAGGACGTCACAAATGGCGCCCGAGCAGAAAAATTCGTTTTAAACAATAATACCGACCGAATTCCGAATTTTATTTTCATGAGACAGTACTGCATTTCAAATTTTATTCAAATACAGGGTGATTCACAGTTCAAAAATGACAGACGCTCCGGAAACGTCGAAGGTTAGTTGGGTGTACCTATTAAAGAAAGACGAACTTATAGCCGAATTAACGAACAGAGAACAGTCGACGGAAGGGAATTTCAGCGAGCTAAGAGCGAGATTAGTTGCGATCATCAAGGCACCAACTCAAAAAGGCCAAAACCCAGAGGAAATAGAAGAAAACCAGATGGAAGACAGACAAAGAAAGATGGAAATAGTACGCAAATGGGGGTTACACTTTGACGGTTCAAGAGACCCAATAGAATTCATAGAACGGTTGAAAGAACTCCAGACAGCTTACGGCCTACAAGACACCCACGTTTTACAAGCTCTAATAAATATTGGAACGAATTAAAAGACTTCGAACAAGATTTTCGCAATTTCTTCGTTTCCTCCGTTCTCACGCAATCTCTGGAAGCTCAAATCCGGAACCGACTCCAACGAAACTTATTTTGAACTCTGTCTCTGACTATCGAAAAGCTACCCGGATAGTGACTCCTACGAGAGGACGTCACAGCTGTATACCCAAATAGTTAAGTTTATATATATTGTTATGCTATTTAAATTTTATTCTATTGCTTATTTAGAAAAGATCCTGTCTATATTTATTAAATGATCTAATCTCCAATTAATTACAATAAATCAGCATTAATTAATTACAATCTCAGGCTATTTAACTTGTACTATTTACCTTTGATCGTGGATTCAAAATATTTTCCAATTGGCTTCCTAATTGGGATAGGTAATATGACCTGAATAAAATACACAGAATTTCAACTGAACTATATGTGAGATGTCCTTTATTTTAATGAAATTTTATATAACAATCAATCCTGTAATATTTGCAATATAATACTTTAAATATATATGAGAAGTTGTTTTCTATCATGGACCCAAATGTTATTTTACATTGATTTTTAATATGTGTTATAACTAAGCTCTCTTTATAATTTTTTTCTTTAAATGATCGCAAAATTAACTGTCTCTATTATTTATTCAATTTATTTAATTAATAAATGAAAACCACACTACTGCTCTAATGAAAATTGACTGACCTTTCGTTCTCTGCCGTTGTAATTCTATGGCCACGCCATAAAAAAAACCTTTCTCTGCTTCTGCTCCTATTGTGGTCCAGATGACCTACACCTTTCTCCTATCTGTCCTTGTATCTGCAACCCAACAACTCGTGTAATTCTATGCAGCCTCCTTTTGAGCGAATCTCCGCGCCTGTTTATAACTTCAAATGTTTCCGGCTTCGTCTGATATTAATATTCTTATACCCTTTGGTTTTTCTATCTCTCTGTACCCCGTTCCTTACACTGATCAGCTTTTTCACAGCAAATAAACACACCCGGTAAATTACGTCTTCGGGACTTCAAACAAACACAAACCACAAAGCTCCTTCCTTCTTGGGCGACGAAAACTGACTAACTCTCTTTTTTCCTCTCTCCTATCTCATAGCCAAAACCACTACCTCCATTGCATTCAAAAATTGACCAATAAAAATCATCCACCTCTGTGACGTATATCGTTACCAACCAACTCTCTTTATAAAACGTCATTCGGGTAATTCCAGAAAACAACATTCTTTAATTATTCTAACTAAATCTATCTGCTTTACAAATATTTCTTACTAATAGCTACAAACGATACCTGTTTCTCAATTCAATGTCTTTTGTTAATAAACTTTTACCGATATAATCTTTCGGGGAGAAAAACCACCGCAAATCCCGGTCTATTGTTTAAACACTGTCTATATACACTTTATTTCCGGGTAAATCCCTGCCACAATAACCGACTTATTTAAATTTCTTATCGATAATATTTGAAAGTCTTGTCTCTGAGGCCTAATGAACAATTCTTCGAACAACTTAAAATACATATTTTGTCTTATACAGGATGTTTGAAAATTTATATGACCGTGTCTTTATGAAATATCAATAATTTTAATTTTTATTTAAGTAATAAAATTTGTATATCGGTTTTTTATTGCTAATGGACATTCAAAAGTACAACAATATATATATATATATATATATATATATATATATATATATATATATATATATATGTATACATACATAATGATTTATGTACCTAAACACATTTTTAGAGGTAAAGGTCATAACGATGGCAATCATAACTACTACCAAGCCAGCGCCCCAAACGATAACAGAAATTCAAGGTATTACGATATGGCTCCTAAGTAAGTACAACACAAACTCTTCTAGTTCTTTTAATGCGTTACCTGCTCCGGGTAACGATTCAAAATTAATTAACTTTAATTTATCAGCATCTATATTATTTTTCTGTGGGTCCCTACCGTAAAATAATCACTTAGGTTAGGTTAAGTAAAGTTCAGCATAAGTGGACGCTTAAACACCCTTCCACTCGACCTAAGAGTCTGTTGTGGCTCATCCCTAGTTTAAAGTTATCTTTTTAGCCCAGACTTTTTATAAAGTCTAATACTGTCTTGGGTGATACTTCTACGAAGTCGTAGGGCTAGAGATTATAATGCTCATATATATTGAACCTTATCCTATGCAACCCTGAGCAGTTGCAGAGTATGTGTTCCGCCGTCTCGTCACCAGCCTAACAGAATCTGTAATTTGCAGTTTGTGTCAGTACGATATTGTTCGTGTGCCCCTTGAGACCGTCTCCTATAAGGAGAAATGCAATGATTCTCAGATCATTCCTATTCATATCTAGTAGATCTTTGGATTTCCTCTTCGAAGGTTCATGTATAAAACTCTTTGAATTATTTTCACAAGATGGGATTTAAAAAGAACCACAATCAGGCTTATTAGCAAATTAAAAAGAATAAGAAATAAATACTTGACAACAGCATTTAAAATATTCAACACACGAAGATCTATTCTTTCTAATGCATGCAAAAACACACAGGAGAGAACAAAGAACTACATTTATCTAACACAGACTTTGACAGATACAAGATATACAAACGATAACTGTCAAATTAGTATTAACACCACCGCCAATTATAAACATTTACAGGTTAACATCACTCATAATTTTAATTTCAGAATGAAAACTATTTCCGTATTGGAAATCGAAACGTCCCAGCAAATGTTAATATAGTTCTCATTCCAATAAATTGTGGTTTAATCCTGTATAAAATAATATCTAAATTAAACATGCCACAAGAAAATAGTTATAGAACCTTCCTCTTTCCATTTTTCCCTTAATATCAATTAAAGTTAATTACTTTTAATTCATTCTATCATTGTAGGTTTAACAGACAACATGAAGCTTCGACCCGATTCTAATCAAAGATGCTTTTGTTAAGTAAAAAAGTGAAGATAACATTGGAACAAATACCAAAAAATAGTATTATCAATATGAAATTATACGTAAATAAAGTATTATATTATATTTTAATATTAATATATGATTTTTATAAAGCTTTTCTAATTTACCTGTTATATAAATAAATTAACTACGCATAATTTTAAAAACCCTGGTAAATTAAATAATTTTTCCGCCTCTGAGAAAGAACTCGTATATTTACTCATGCGATAATCCATAAAACGTCTGTATGCATTTTCGTACTTTTCTCTTGATTTCTTTGGCAATAATTCTAATGAAGCAATATTCACTGCCTCAACCAGCTCTGGAGGAGTCCCAGAAATGGAAATTTCATCATCACTTATCATTTTACTTTCGAGAACACCAGCGATTAAATTTATAAGCGTCAAGTTTGACAATTCAACCTCAATACGTTTCCATAGTAACCCAAGTAATTTTGAAATCGTTGGCTTCCACGGCCAGAGTCAGAATTATAGTTTATTCGTCTTCCGGGTTTGGACCGTGTCATTTGTGAGTGACCCAAAAGTGGGTTCATCTCGACATTTCGCTACACTTGTCTGTAGCTTCTTCAGGAGAACAAAGAAAAAGAAAACAAAAGACAGGAAGATGGGTAGTTAGCAACGGTAACTCAGTTACTCAACGCAACCAGAGGCGAATACTAACTACCAAGATGGGCATTTGGTCACAGTAACTCAACTACTTAACGCAGCCAGAGGTGAAAACCAAATGCCAGGATAGGGATTCACATCCAACAGCTCAGAACACTAACGCGTCGAGAGGCGGGGAGTGAATCCGACGATTACTCCGCTACCGCTCTATTTATAGTCGCGGTGACCTGTCGCGTCGGGACGTATCGGCACACTTCGTGGCGCGAACGTCAAGAAGCGCGCGCTGGCCAATCATGTGGCTGCATCGTGGTAGCGGGACCGGACGTCGGCTCTAGACTAAGATTCCAGATGGGAGACAAGTAGGAGACAAGTAGCCTCCGCGCTGGGCGTCTCTTAACGTCGTAACGCGCGGTGACCAATTCTTCTGCCTGCTCCAATCAATACACCAATATTTCAATGGGTAAGTCTGTTTTCTTTGTACAGGTAACAGTAATGAGTTAAAGCTAGTTAAGTCTCGTAAATTATTCACAATTATATTTGCTATTTTCCGCTACTTCTATTTACAGTTAAAATATTGCATTTCTTCTTCAGTATTATTCTAATATTATTTAACCAGCGACCTCTTAAGTTTTACACGAAACAGTACCCAAAATGTATCCAATTGGATACATTTTTCCATTCGTTTCAAAAGATTATTTTTTCTGGGATGAAGTGGCTTTGTTCCGCTATAACTCCAAACACTATGTGGTAAGAAGCTGTGATTTATATTATGTCTTAACTTTTTTTATACTTATATTTTTATACCACATCACAGCTATGGTCAAAAAGTTTTTTTATTATTATTACTTGGTACAAATTTAAAAGAAAATTAGTGTGTGCACCTATTTAATTGCATAAAACTTGTAACTATTTTAATTTCATGTTGATATGATAGGATTAATACAGCTTAACGAGATATACATCCAAGATGTGAGTCAGGAAAGTAGATTTTAATTACGTATTTATACATCATAAATTTAAATAATAATAAAACTGAAAAAAACTAAGAAATTACAAGTTTTACGGTCCATCTTTACTTCTATGATTTATCTTATCGGATACCTTATGAAAATCTGTAAAAAGAAAAATCAGAGATCTTCTTTTTCTTTCATTTCATATATAGGCAAATAAGCCAATTTGTTTTTCGATAATAGCCTTCTCTATTGTTTAAATTATCACGCCGCCCTTTGCTTAGTCCTGGTTTGATGATTTGTCTTGTGCTGTTCTTACTTTCCTATCTTCTGTCATTCTGCTAATGTGTTCATTCTATTCCTATTTTGGTTTTGTGGCCCATGTATTTATGTCTATTTTATTACGTACCCTTCTTATATTTTAAAGCTTTTCCTTAATATTTTCGAGGGTATTCTTATCTTTGTCATTTCTACAGTCATTTCTTTTTGGATATATCGGATCCCTTTTCCAGGTATCTTATTATAGTTCTAATTGGTGTTTTATAGATTCTTGCTTTTGTATCTTGTCTTAAGTGCTTGTTCTTCAACACTATATTATTATGAGATTCCGCAACTTTATTTGCTCTCATAACGTGTTGTCAAAATTCTTCTTCCATATCTTCATAACTAGCTATATCTATTCCCAGACATTTAAATTTCATTTTCCGCCTTATTATTTTCTCGTATATTCTGACTTTACATCAAAGTAGTTATTTGGATGTGGTCATACATTTGGTTTTCTCCGCTGAGATTATCATATTATATTTTTTGCTTGCTGTATTTTAAGTGTGCTTTTGGAGAAATCTTTGGAGATTATCTTTTGTTTCAGCGACTAGTGCAGTGTTGTCTGCATATCATATAGTGTTCGTCAAGATGGCGGCGTGTGATACAACCATGTTAACGACTGAGTTAAATAAATTACAGAAAAATGAACTAATCGACATAATTGTATTGACTATATTGCTACAAACATAAATCACCCACAAAAAACAATGGTTGTGGAAGGTTATCTCTGATCATCGTGCGCAAATATTCCAATATAGCATTAACACAGACAATGATGCCTATATATTCATCCGTTCATATAGTGAAAGGAACATAAATCGTTTTGTTCAAACCCTTGAGTCAACAAATTGGTCAGAGGTATTTAATACAATTTCTGCTGAGGATAAATCATTAGCTTTTTTAAATACTATCCAAAATTATTTTCGGTCCCATTTTCCACTACTTAAATGTAAACCTAAAAAAAGTACACGTTCGAATTGGTTTACGCAGGAACTGTAAAATTTAATGGATCAGCTAAAACTTTTAGAAACGATCTGTCAGCAAAATAGTAGTCTTAGGCCAGTCCTTCATTTGGAAAAGGCAGAATATTCAATTAAATTAAAAGCTGCTAAAAGTAGTCACTTCATGAGACAGTTAAACGAATCATCAAATAAAATTAAATGTATTTGGCGTTTAGTAAACTTAACAGTCGGGAAACAAAATAACTCAAAAGTACCTAGTGATGATAACAGTAATTTAGCAGACAAGTTTAACCACCATTTTGTTGAAATGGCTCCAAAGTTACTTGCCGCTTTGGATCCTACTAAAATAGATGGGTTTACATCAGCATCAAAAAACCGTAATAGTTCCTCTATGTTTTTATATCCAACTAACCCACAGGAAATAACAAGTATAGTCGGAAGTTTTAAATCCATTCACAATTGGGGTTTTGATCAGATTTCCCCTAAGTTATTAAAACAATGCATTCATGCTCTCGCAGATCCACTGACGGATATTTGTAATGCCTCTTTTCAACAAGGAATATTTTCTAGTATGTTTAAACTATCTATTGTAATCCCTTTATTCAAAAGTGGTGATAAAGATGACCTTAACAACTATCGTTCCATAAGTCTCTTATCTGTGTTTTCAAAGATAATTGAAACTCTAGTTTACACTAGAATGAATGGATTTCTGAAAAAGCATAGTGTCTTGCATAATTTTCAACATGGTTTTACATCTTCTAAGTCTACAATTACAGCTCTTGTAAATTTCGTCAGCTTAGTGTTGGATGCTTTGGACAGACGAGAGAAGGCATGTGGTTTATTTCTCGATTTGTCCAAGGCTTTTGACACTTTGGATCATAATTTGTTGCTAATAAAACTTGAGGGGATTGGTATTCGTGGTATAGTTCTAAAATGGTTTACTTCCTACCTAGAGAATAGAAGACAAAAAGTAAAGATAACATCTAGTGGACTTGTAAACGAATCAAACACATTGGATATCCATTATGTTATCCCTCAGGGTAGTGTATTGGGTCCTCTACTTTTTATAGTATTTATTAATGATATAACTTTGGTAACTTATTCACTGACTGGGGTTAACATTATCAGTTATGCGGATGATACCAACATTCTAGTCACAGGAACGTCTGATCAAAATTTGCAAAATAAAACTTCACAGATACTATCCACCATCAAAAGTTATTTCTTATCCAACAAATTAGTTTTGAATGAAGAGAAATCAAAGTATATGATTTTCACGTCAAATAATTTATTAAACCATCAAGCCACTATAGAAGCAGCAATAGATAAAACAGACTGCACGAAGTTGCTGGGGGTACTTCTAGACAGTAATTGTAAATGGTCAAACCACATTTCTAATTTGAAATCCAGATTAAGTAGCGCATGTTATGCATTAAGAATTCTTTCACGTTTCTTTCATACATCAATATTAAAAACAGTATACTTTGCCCATTTTTACTCAATAGCCAAATATGGCATTGAAGTCTGGGGTTGTACCTCTGAATTAGAGCAGATGTTCGTACTTCAGAAAAGAGCTATTAGGATAATGTATAAAATGAAATTTAGAGATTCTTGTAGAGGCATCTTTAGACAAAACAATATTCTGACAATTCCTGGTCTGTATATATTTTCGTGTATAATGTATTTTCATAGCAGAATTTATGAATTTAATAAATTTCAATTTAACCATGTTTATTCAACAAGATTCAGAGACAATCACTTTATGCTTCCACAACATCGTTCTGTTTTGTTGGAAGGTAGCACACAATATGCAGCCATAAGTTTCTTTAACAAATTACCAATAGATATACGAATGAATTTACATCAGCCAAACTTTCGGAGGTGTGTACATCAATACATTTGTGAGCTAGAGCCATATTCTAAAAATAATTTTTAAGTATGTTTTATCGTGTTTAATTAATTCATATAATTTTAAGATTTATGTCTGTATTTTTGACTTGTCTCATACATGTACTTTGTATAATGTTACATGTGATCAATAAATTTGACTTGACTTGACTTGACTATATAATTTGAAACTTTCTGTTTCCCATTTTGTAACCATGATCTTAACGTATTGCTTCTATTATTTTGTACATAGTTATACTAACTAGCAGTGGGCTTAAGGCCGTTCCTTGCGTTTCTGGGCATAGCTAAGTTTCAATGTAAAAGTTTATATCAAATAACGCAAAAACTATGGCAGATATTGAGAT